AAGTTCTTACTGATGAGGTCTGTGATTTTACCCCAGTGCAAACAAGAAATGTCCACAGTCTGCTAAGTAATCATTCTGGAGTGAGGTAATTCCTATAATTCTTAATCCTTCTATAATTTGAACTCTGTTACTAACTCCCTTGGTGCCGCTATAAACCTAGTAATAGCGGCACCTCTTGGTTTTTTGACAGCTGGAAGACAAGGCGAACTGCTAAAGTGGAGCTTGACTTGGCACAGTCTCTTTATCCTCAAGTTTAAAACAGGACTACTGTATGTTCTTAGCTTAATTGAAAGTAAAATTATTAGATATCCTGAAAGTACCTCTTGCAAGGCCATGCATTTTTGGTCTTGTTGGGCTGCTTGAAGTTGAAGGAGCCCACTTTATTTGCCTAACGCTGTTCTATCTGACAAGTAACTTGAACATGAACGCCTGTGCTGTGACGTTTTGATCCGGGCTGTCTGAGGTAATTTGGGCAAATTCCACAGATATTTGTTGCATATGAATCGGCCAGTCACATTCCTTATAAATGACATTACTGGACCTCCTCTGGTAAAACTAAGCCAGGTTAAATATCCAAAAATAAATCAACCAAACCAATCACCTCTTCTGTGAGCTCTACTTCAAAACTACTCATTATTAAATGTGGGTATCCTAATAGCAAAAAATACCACATGTACGCGTGTGTATTATTGTATGCTTGTGCCTGGCTTTCCCCTGATGAATCTGCCCCTCTCATCTCTTATCTCCCCCAAGCCTGTCTAGCAGAGTGAGAAGACCACAGCCTTGCCTCCACATCCCTGCAGCCCCCACTGAGGGTCGCGACCCCACTGATAAAGATGAAAGTGAGGCTCAGTCTCCTCTCATCAACACTGCTTATCTCAGAGCTGTGAGCCCTTTGTCCTAGATCAGCACTCCAGACAACTGGAGCATATTTTTGGTGTGCTGCACATTTTATCACAGCAGCACCTTGGGAAGCACAGTGTAGATGAGTTTTATCGCTCATGTTTTTCCTCACTCATTTCATTACCACTGATCAGTGTTCCGTACTTTTAGCAGTGCAGCCTAGTTATGTAAGGTGCATAACCCTTGAGAGGTTGCAGTTATGGCTGGTGATAACAAAAACATAGCACAGTAAATTATTTCTCACCTGTAGTTCATTGAAACAAGCAGAGCAATTCTGTTAATGTTGCAAATTCTAAACTTTCTAAACCTTCAGTCGGTATCAGTCGACCCATATTTAGACTCTGAGTGCATCTGCAGTGTAGCTGAGCATGTGTGAAGTCATGTGAAGAAGGAATATAAATATAAATATAAAAAGTTTAGTCTTTTTCAGCATATTTAAATAGACAGATATACAGACCTGTTTGGCCAGTGTTGACAGATGAAGATGATGTAATTTAACAAGTGATGCTCTAAATTAGCATTGCCATCCTATATATAACTAAAATAAACAGAAATGCAGTTTCTCATGTGGAAAAGGTAAGTACACCCCAACATATATCACTACTTCAGAGGTGTCCAACTGAAATCCGGTGCACTCGATCAGGTGCTAATGCTTAGAATACTGTCAAAAAATATCTTGAAGCAACCTGTCTTATTTAAAGCTCAGATATCTGCACTGGTTTGCACCTTGTTATTGGAGTTTGATCTAAACCTAGATCAAAAGAGCTCTCTGAGGTCATCAGAAAGAAAGTTGTAGATGCCCATGAGTCTGTGAAGGTGCTCAAAAAGATTTCCAAAACACTGGAAATCAATCATTCCACTGTCCAGAAGATCATCTAAATTTAAAACCACTACCAACCCCAGCAAATTTAACCACAGAGCAGACTGTGAGGTCCTAAAAAAATTCTGTAAGTACATCTAAGTACAATTTTGAAACAGGCTATACGTGCAAGAAAGAATTCTGTATGCAGGAGTGGACAAAACTTTCAGAAAATGCTAGATAGTTATAGGAAACACCTACATAAAGTTGTTACTGCCAAAGAAATACCAGTTGCTGATGCCAGGGGTGTACAGAAGGCAGTGTGTTTCATGATCCAGTCAGTGATGATGAGTATTGTAAGGATGCCATCAGTGAATCTCCGAGCTGAGTGATGGATTGAATCTAAGGGTTTGATGCTATTAGCAAACATATGCCTGTAAATCACATCACCAGAATTGAGAATAGATAATAAATTTGCCTCAACATTCCTTTTCCTAGTCCCAGAGCTTTTGCCTTAATTTACTAGCAGACTTACTTATATGACATTTAAAAGTAAGTGTATCGTCCAGCCATGTGACTTTCATGCAGTGAGATATAAAACCAATGTTGAAAGTTTTGGATAACTTGAATATAGCTTTCTCTACATTTAAAACTAATTTATGCTTGTAGAGAGCAGTTTGCAAGGCATGGAAAGAGGAAACACTGTAATTTTTGAAGTACTGCATGTACAGAGTCAGCAGAACCATGTAAAATAGTGGCATCTACATAAAAATGGACTGAGGTGGAGGCATTTGTATTGGTAAGTAGAAGACACAATATTTTGTTATGACTTAGTTATTGTGTGCTCAGCCTTGTTTTGCTAAAAAAATAGAAAATTATTTCTTACGCATCATATATTGCATCATAATAATATACATATAATACACATGTTCTTGTTTTCCTGTAATTCTCCATCAAAATGTAATGACTTTGCCGCCTTGAAAAGATCTTCTGAGTTTTCATTACACTGCTGTGCAACAGCAGGTGGGGAAAAATAATATGAACCAATATACTCGTGTTTCACCTCCACCTCCCACCAACCCCACATTTCATCGAGCAAAAAATACTCAACTAGCTTAGAGATGTCACAGTATGGAAGGAAAATACGCTATAATTTCTGCTTCACGTTGACTTATGCACACTAATGCACACTAATCAGTCCAAACTGATCAGTACAACATGTATCTTCAATGTAAAATGTAATCCATAATGTAATCAGCCATGTAGTTGTGTAATTACCCTTAAATTAATATAGAGTTGTGTGCAAAAGTTTGGGCACCTCTGGTCGAATTGCATTAATTTTTATAAGTGAAAAAAGTTAATAAATCCTCTACAGGGACTGTTTAATTCTAAAGGTAACATATTGGACAAAAAATACAACTGTGGAATGTAAATCCTGTGTGGAACAAAACTTTAGACATCTGAGTAACTAAGTAAAAGCTGCTACTCAACTTTTGTTATTTATGTTTGTTTTTATGGTGTTTTTTAATTTCTAGTCATCTCTGTCAGCATCACAGCATCCGTCGTTCTTAACTCCATCCTATTTTGAAGCTTTGTTTACCTAAAAAGCTATTTGTTGTTTATTTGTGGGGAGGATGACCATTCTGTAATCCCCTCAGTAAAGGCCAGGACTGGGCTGAAGGCTGCAGCAGAGCTGACCCCTGGAGGAGTTAGTTTGATGGAGACTGGGTGGTTTGCATGGATGTAATTGAAGCATAGCTCTTTGCTTGCCCACTAACTGCACCCGAACAGCATAATTAGTTTCTAACAGCACTTTTTTTCTCCTCCTTTCCAGAGCTCCAGTAGGGTTTTGAACAATTTTAATAGGGGCCGATCTCCTCAGTGCTTGTAAAGGATCCACCGTTGTGTTCTCTCTACCTGCCGAGCAAAGCATTTATATACGTGTGTGTGCGTGTGCACTTCGCTAATGAGAAACACATGTGCGGGGCCGATCTGTGTGCTTACAGGGTAGAGCAGCGTGGCTTGAAGTTATTAATGGCAGTAAAATTTATGCTTCCTCCTTTTTTGCCAATTAAATGGAGGAGTCCTTCTCTTTCTGGGGTCTCGGGGAGCACATCTGGCTTCAATAGGCTGAGATAACCTAGCCCGAAGGGTCTGCGGCCGGCTCCGACCGGTCCCTTCTCTTACTCTCACTTTCACTCCCTCTCCCCTATTTCTCTCTCTTGCTCACTCTCTCTCTCTGATTAAGCTGGAGGTTTGTTTTGTGACCCTGGCCCTTTGGGTGAATGTGCACACGAGGCCCCCAGAGATATTCAGATCTGCCTGTTGCTTCTTTTAAGCACTAAGTGCAATAAAATGCTCTCTCTTTCTTCTTTCTTTCTTTCGACTCTCTTGTTTTTCTCTATTTTGATTTTCCTCTCTCCCTTCTTTGCTTCTGACCTGTATGTGTCTCTCTCGCCCTGTGTTCTGCAGTGTGTAGACTTCTGAGCTCATTTTAAGCACAATTGACCTGAAAAGACGAAAATGAGTCATGCTTACAGAATGCTACGTTACTTGGGCTCTTCAGTTTAAGTTTTGTAGTATATCTCTTTGCTGTGTTAAATCTCTCAAAAAGCGGAAACATTATGCATAACTTCAGCATGAATGGGCGGAGCTACACCTGCTGTAGACTGAATAGGCAGATATGTGTAAATGAGTTGGTTTTTGTGTCATTACAGAAAATCATACATTCAGATTGAGCTGTTTGTTTTTCAGAGAATTTTCCATATACGGCCTGCATGGACTGGGGTCAAACAGAATGTTTTGAATCTTTGACAGTGTTGACATACTACAAATTTCAGGCACTTTAATGTTAAAAGTGTTACTGGGTTTTCTCTGGTCAGAAAATTTATTTTATTTATGTATTTATGTAGGCATTTATTTATTATCACTTTTTGCAAGACACATTGTTTTTCTCTGAATTTCGATAGGTTAGAACAGAGAATAAAGCACCAGTATTGCCACATTTAAAAAATAATATGAAAAACTATGTACTATGTGTACTACGCTTTTCATTCAGTGTTTCATACACAGGCCTTCTTTTTCTCTTTATAATGATTCATGTAGTTGTTCAATATTCCTTAAGTACTGACGAAATTCACAATATCGTACAGAAAAGTGTATTGTGATGTAATATTGTTACTGTAAGGACAACCATATTGCCCACCCATAGATCGAGTCACGTAGGAGACATTTGACTGGACGTAAGTGTATTCATTTTTTTCCCCATTCAGTGTTTGTGTATGTGTCTGTGTTTCAGGAGATGAAACGCAGAGGCATCTGGCCATGCGCATCCTGTACCACATCAGCATGGATGACCGTTTCAAGTCCATGTTTGCCTACACTGACTGCATTCCTCAGGTAGGAGCTCAGCCTGCATTAAGGCCAGCCTCTGTTCCTCCAGCCCTGGGGTTCTGCATGAGAGGCAGCGCTACGCTACAACTGCTCTCATATGACCATGGCAATGACAGCTTCCTCTCGCTCTCTTTCTCCTACTCTCTCACTGTAGTAAGAGAAAAGGAACAGAGCATGAGTTTGGCTTGGAAAGAACAAAAATAGTTGAGTTAAAGTGGTAGTTCAGTGAAATTAATTTTACTTTTATAATAAATGTAATCAATCAGCTACAACATGGTTGGTGTCTGAAGTTTGCTTCTTTAGTTTTGCATAGGAGCTCTAAGGCTAATCTAGTTGACAATTAAAGGAACCTAATGGACACCAATTAGCATAATGCGAACTGCATGCTTAATTCACAGGCTTGCATCAGACAGCATAGTGCTTTTGAGTAATCTTTATGTGATGGACTTTAATTGATACAATGTCAGAAACCACTTAAGAAAGTCTCTGAGATTTCTTAAAAACCTGACACGGTGGTTTGCAGTTTGCACTGTGCTAATTGGTATTCATAAGCTTCAGTTATTTGTTAGCCACTTTAGCCTCATAGCCCCAGTGCAGAAAGAAGCTTTGGACACCAGTCATGTGTTAGAAATTAGACTGACTCACTCACTCACGTTTTGCAGGCTGAACATTCTCACTCAAATAGCTTTCAGTGTTTTGCATCATTGCATCAAAATATATATTTTTTTTTTTTTTGTTGTTTTTTTTTAGATTATTCATTTTTGGAAAGAACTTGGTGTATTGTCAATAAAGTTTCAGTTCAACTCAGTGTAGTTAAGATGCAAAATAGGTTGTCAAGCACATAGACCAGGAAGTGGGAGTATGGGATATGTAGTCAGAGTACACGCGCTTGCCTTGGGGACGTACAAAGACGCATTGGGGCGGCGGGTAAACGTGAGCAGGGCAGGTGCCAGTAAGTCTAGCCGCCGTGTGATTACGGCTCCAGGGCTGCTGCTACGTGATCCTCCAGAGCCGCGTGATTGCACACCGCTGCCTCCTCTCAAACTCGACCAGCCTCGCCCAGTCCTGTCTGCCATCCTGCTTAATGTTAATGTCACACACACATAGACGCACACACACAAAATTCAGGTTGCGCACCCGTGGCCTTCTGTTCAGATCTGGTCATGGAGATCGGATCTGAGCTAATAGAGAGTGACACGGGGGATACGCTTCTAAAATCAGGAACCGTTTGGGGAAAATCACAAACCCATGCATGTCTGGGAGGGAAAGGACAAATTGGGCGCAGAAGTCTGGAAAGAATGTCCCATGTCTGTTTGCACCATTTAGGGGGCTTTAGAGGAGAAAAGTGGGCTTTGGATGATTAGGATTGCTCTCTGGATGTGCACTTATTGAATTGCTTTGTTTGGGCAACTCTTGGAGAGGTGCTTGCATTTTTTATATAGCTGGAGTGTAAACTGTTGGCTATGAGGCTGCTTTGTTGATTGGCAGGTGATGAAGATGCTGTTTGATTGCGGTGAGGAGAGGATGGACCCGGAGCTCATCTCCTTCTGCATCAACCTGGCTGCCAATAAGAGAAACGCCCAGCTAATTTGTGAAGGTCAGGATATAATTGATAGTTCCCAAAAGGTGTTGCCCATGCCTCTTGACATATGCTTCAGTATAGTTACCTTTTTCCTATTTAGTTTTTCTGCATATAATTACATGCACAAACACATTATGTGTGTAAATATGATGTTGATTTATGCACTGGAAAGATATTAAATACCAAAAACGCAAGTCGCTGAATACTTGTTTCCCCTCATGTTAGGTTTACAATGTCTGCAGCCTATCTGTTGCTACATAATTTATAAGCCCCCTTTACCCCATCCATCAATAAAAAGCAACTACCGTAGAACCACCGCTGAGCACATATTATTTATTTGTCAATCATTCTCAGCACATCAATGACATTGCATCGTAGTGGCATATTTTTGTGCTGGTAGTTGTGTATCGGGTACAGCAGTATTGCTGGACTCTATCTAGCTGATATCTTCTCACTGCAGGTAATGGGTTGAAGATGCTGATGAAAAGAGCACTGAAGCTGAAGGATCCTCTGATGATGAAAGTGATCCGGAACGTGTCACAGCATGATGGGCCCTCCAAGAACCTATTCATTGTGAGTGTGACGCATTTAAGGGCAACATTTCGGCTGATCCACTTTGTCGGTTGTTGATTATAACAGTGCTACGCTGTTTTTTTGCAGGACTATGTTGGAGACCTAGCAGCTCAGATTGGACAGAATGAGGAGGAGGAGTTTGTCATTGAGTGCCTGGGCACACTGGCTAACCTCACCATTCCTGATCTGGACTGGGAGCTTGTCCTCAAAGAATACAACCTAGTGCCCTTTCTGAAAGACCATCTCAAACCTGGTGAGACAATTATTTATCTCACAGCATTGATGTGAAGCAAGGGTGCAGTGATTCTTGGTGATATCAGCATCAATACGATTCAGCACTAAGATATGATGCAGCATTAGCATCATACCTAGGTTTGCCGAATCTTTGGAAGTTAATCTGTATATTTTTGGGGGAATTTTTTAATTCTTAGTTTTATAAGTAAACTAACCTACCATACAAAAAAGAGATATTGTTATAGTTAGTAGCACTTATTCTCTGCATGTGTCATGGTGGCAGCATTGTGGGCTAAAGTAATTAGTAATACAGTATGGAAAAAGGCATAGATGAGGCTGAAAAGGTGTTCAGATTATGCTTTTTCAAAGTCTTTCGAGTCCACTTCTTGTCATTGTTGTTTATGAAGAAAGTGAGGCTGCATCCCTGTCCCTCATGGCCACATGGTGAGCAGTTAGATCCCATTGTTTTGAAGTAAATGTGTCCCAAAGTCTGAGAATCATTTTGTAACATTGAGTTGTTAATTGACATTAACACACATTTTCTGCGAAAACAATTTTGTGTTTTAATGAAAAATATCATGATTTTATGTATGTACAACCATTTAAAGATGGTTCTGAGTCACTCAATGGCTATGCAGTTTTGCTAAAATTGTCACTACTAAAACATTTGATAAAGTTGCAGTAGTGTTATGATTGTTTTGGTAGTGATGAAATAGAATGTCCAATTATTAATATTAATAAAATAAACATAATTAAGGTACAGGGTCACTCAATGCAAAAGATTTTTAGTTTAAAGTCCAAGTCAGTAAAAGAACTAAATGTGTTTTCAGGTCTGACTTTGAACCGGTTTGGTAGAATGATTGGTATACGTCAGTTTTAAATTGTTTAACATTTGTCTCGGTCTGGCTTTGTCTCAAATTGCCGTCTCGTCCAAAAACTCCCCCGTGTTTCTTTTTAAACACGACACGTCACGCGGCACATTAAAAACATTTTGTCTGAATGCCCCTATATTCAGCATAGCTTCAAAAGGCACTTTTTGTCCTGACCATATATATCAGTTTATTTTCCCAGTAGACAGTATAATTCCCTGTTGACAAGTATAATTGCTGTTAAAAAAGCTCCGAATAGACTAGAAATGAAAAATGAACAGGATGATTACAGTCAGTTTTAAATATTGACTGTATCTGCAGTCTAAGCTGGAATGAATTTTAAACTGATGTTTAGAAAAATGTGGAATACCTAAGCCATGCAAGATGTCTTTGCACACTTCGTTTTAGATAACTTTTATCATTATTTTACAAAAGCTCATTTGACTGTTAACCCTGTGGTCCTTATCTTTGACCTCCAGGCTGTGCAGAAGATGACCTTGTGCTGGAGGTGGTGATCATGATTGGCACCGTCTCCATGGACGACTCTTGCGCTGCCATGTTAGCCAAGTCAGGCATCATTCCTGCTCTCATAGAGCTCCTCAATGGTAAGATGTAGTCAAATGACCGAAGTTTGTTTTTTTGGAAAATTCTACTGTTCTTTAATGCAAAATGCTGAGAGCAGACGTGATCTTTGGATCTCTCTTTTTCTACAGCGCAACAGGAGGACGATGAGTTTGTGTGTCAGATCGTGTACGTTTTCTACCAGATGGTGTTTCACCAGGCCACCCGAGAAGTCATAATAAAGGAGACCCGTATCCTTCACCCTTGTGTACACTCTGTACACTCTATGGTGGAACCAGCTGAAATTAACCTATGCTCTTAATTCCATCAATCCCTTTTTGTCCTTCACCTTAACACCATTCCACAGAAGCTCCAGCTTACCTTATTGACCTGATGCATGACAAGAACACTGAAATCCGCAAAGTCTGTGACAATACATTGGACATCATTGCGGTAGGTGTTTATTTATTAGAGTCTGAGAAACTATAGCGGTTATGGTAGGGGTATAGTGAAGAGTAGACCATTTGAAAATACACTTGAGTGGATGACTGTGGTGGTAAATGCAGCGTGCTGTGCTTCTTGATTTGCTGGGGATCTTTCAGCTCAGAGTGATCTTTCCCAGGCCTCAGATTAATGTAATTAGGTCTCCATTATCCTAGGTTTCTTTTGGAGGCCAGGGGAAGTGTTCTATACAACTGATCAGGCAGAGCTATTAAAGCTGGGAGCCACATCAAAGGGACTGGAGGTGTCTGGTTAGACTCAGATAGGTATAGAGGACAGAACACAGGTCTGCTAAATACCACACACGCTCACCCTTAGTCTTGTTCATTTCAGAGGTTTTTGTCGGCTAACTGAAACTTTCAGAACTTTTACTATACACTGCTGAGCAAAACTGGTGACTAAATGACTGTTAGGTACAAGTTATTCATATTTCAAAGTCAGAAAAAAACCTTTTTTAACTGAAAATTACACAACATCCAACACTAACTATGTCAGACTTACCAGTATTTAATTTGACCGCTTTTTACTTTTGTGCTTCTGCCACTTTAACTCCTTCCAGTCTTAAAACCAACAAGTTAAACACACATTAGCTGCCTTGCAAATTTCTTTCTGACGTGTATCTAAAATGATTAAAGGAGATATTTCTGAGGACCTTAGATATAAGATGATCCACTTATATAAACAAGGGGAAAGTCAAAGGAAAAGTCAAAAAACAGGAGTTTCCAAAACTGGAGTTCAAAAATGATAAAAAGAAAATCAGACTCCTAACAGCTGCGCAAGACCTGGTAGACACCAAAACTGTTACCATCAGATAAACAGGACTTTCATCTTTGAGAGAGGAGAAAATCCAGCTCCGCTCTTGTATGAGATCTGAAAAAATGTTTCTGTCCATCCTTCCACTGTGGGAAGGTAAGTCTGTGTGGGTCTGAAAGGATGGGTAGCTGTCAAGAAGTTGTTACTGAGAAAAGGAAAAAGAGCTGCTGGTGTTCTCAGAACAGTGAACTGGCAACCAACTTCTAAGATGATCTGTGGAGGTGTAGAAAAATGTCCCTGCAGATTTCTTTGAAAAACTGAAAGCAAGTCTCCTGCAAAAAGTCTACAAACTAAATACTGAAAAAATATGTTTAGTTGTGGAGGCTTCTGTGAAATTTTTTAGTTAAATATAGTTTGTGCTTTTTTTCCTGATGCTAAAAAAATAAATGACTTGTACTTAATGAGTGTTTTAATTGGAAATTAAATAAATTAAAGGGTGATCTCTCACATTTGCACAGTATTATATGCTTCTCATTCTCTTCAATGTCACACTGGCAGTCCCTGAAGCTGTTTCAGCCCAAACGAAGAGAGGTCGTTCGTAATTCATTTTTCAGCACTCTTTCTGGGTATGCTTAAAGGTTTTACAAGATTTGTTTATAAAACACTCAGAACCCTGGTTCACGTCCACCGCTATCCACGCCGCTCGGAAATGTCACAAGCTCTGTTGTGGTAAGATTGATTAGCCACGCCATTAAACCTGTTCCCTGCCGTAACTGGCCAAGAAAAGCCAGCCGGGGCACTCGCGAAGCTGTTTAGCATTTGATTAATTCGTACATTGACAAAAAATGTCAGCTTGGCTGCAGGTTTGGCCAGGTCTGTGACAATGGGCCTGTTTTAGGCCTGGGCCTCAGGTGGCCGATCATGCCCATGGGTTTCAGCTTTGGACTGGGATGATTAATCAGCCGTGCTGGGTGCGTGGAGCTCAGTGGAGCTTAGCCATGTGCAGAGCCTCAGAAAGAGGCTTTATCAGCCACTGACCCCAAAGAGAGAAGAAAACAGCCACTTGGCCAGCTATACACACCACTGCATCAGCTACGTCTTTATTAAAAGAGATCTTCACCTAGAGCTGCTAATGCAGGCTGCAGAGAGGGTCCCACTGTGTTTTAAATGGTTCTGATTCTCTTATTCTCTACTTCTTTGCAGGAGTATGATGAAGAGTGGGGGAGGAAGATCCAGAACGAGAAGTTTCGCTGGCACAACTCTCAGTGGCTGGAGATGGTGGAGAACCGGCAGATGGACGAAGCGGAGCCCTTCATGTACAGCGATGAGGGAGAACCCTTCTTGCAGGGAGGAGACATCCTGGAGCGTCCCGACCTCTTCTATAGTGCAGGTCAGATAGAGCATGACTGAGTCCCACAAAACCAACAAGACAGACGTCCTCCAAGACCAGTACTGTGCAAAAGTTGTAGGCACCTGAGAAAAATGTATTTAAAAAGCTGTTTAATTGGGCATTAAGTGTTTATTTGCTTAGACGAAAGCACTAATACTAGAATAAATACAAATAATGCAGCAGGTAGTGATTTTATTTATGTTAACATGTTCGCTTAACCGCTTCCAAACCTTTCCACATGGCAGCCAAGTATTAATTGTAGATATCATCCAGTATCTGGTTTGACTCAATCACTGCTTTATTAAGTTAAATCGGGTGTGCAGGTGATGGATTTGAACATATCTATGTGATAGCTGGTGGCATCAATGAGAACTCTGAAGCCAAACCTGTGTTCTTCTGACTAGCCAACTATTTTGAACACAAAAACTTTTTACTGTATTAATGTTTGTTTGCACTTATTATAATGTTATATGGTGTTTTTACAAGCTCAGATAAATGGTTTTGCACAGTACTGTATTTCTGGTTCATCTAGTGGTTTAAATAGAAGCAATGGGTTCTGGAAGTGTAACTTCTGTATTCTCCCTGCAGATGGGATAATCACAGCCGACAGTGCCATCAGTCCAGAATTCTTCACAGACTTCCAGAACGGAGATTTTATAGGACCACAGGGTTTCCCCAGCAGGTAAATATACAAGCTCTGAATCAGGGTGTCCAGTTCCATCACAATTTGGTTATTTCCCTTCTTTACCACGCATACTAAACTCGCTGATGGGCCAAATTAGGTGTATTTGAATGGGAGATCACCAAACTGTGCTGGGCTGGGGCCCGCTAGGACTGGAGTTGGACACGACTGCTGTAAATACTGCAAATACCTGACCCTGTGGGTTAGAATAGTTCATTTTAGCTGGTTCAAGTGAATGTGCATGTCTGCCTATAGACTCTCTATGAGGCAGCTGTACCAGTCTATGCTGTTGTTTTTAGCACACTCAAAGCTGCAGTGTCAGAACATTCTCCCCCTGCATCCCTGCATGTACCACCACTCCTCCTCCAACAGCAATAGCTTTAGCTTGGAGAACAAACAAGGCTCCCCATCCCTGAACTCTCCAGACCGGCCTATAGTCTCCCTCTCCTGCTGCCCTGGCAGCTCAGCAGAGCACAAACGTGACGACTTGATTGATGGAACAGCCCCCTGTGCGATAGCTCTGTTTAATAAGTGTTTTTGTTTTCCCAAGTCCTGCAATCCCACACTGCAAAGCAAACGATCGCATTAGGGGCAAAGCCAGTGATGGAGCTGGTTGCTTTTATTAGCTTTTATTAGCTCCTGGGATGTGTCTCTGTTTATGTGTTGGTCTTGGCTGTGGTTTAGAGAAAAAGCTCTTATCTGAGTCTGAGACAGTAGAAGCTCTCAATTATAGACAGGCATAGAGAGAAAGAGAGAGATGGAGAGTTGGAGGGGGTTGCCTTTAAAAAGGAGGAGTGGGCCTGTTAAAAACACAGGAGCAAGTGAATACAGAGGAAGGAGGGCTATTTTTTTCCCTGCCCTTTGTAAGCGATAGCTGTAAAGTACACTGAGAGCGCATGGGGAATTAGCCGGCCTGAGAGTTTGGTTTTCATTTGGCCGGAGTGGTGCGAGAGATCCAGGTTAACACAATAATGAAACCCAGCCTGCAGGAAGCACACAGCCAGACATGCTGGGAATGGCTTTAATAACACTTACTGTTATTCATACAAATAGTACAATGTGGTTCTTCATCTGCTACATTAAGTAGCTTATTTGCAGCTGATAAAGAGAACACAGGAAGCCCACTGTACACTTCACTGGTACCTACAAACAGGCCCTAGTGGATCATTCAGATGTTAAGAGTATGTGAGCAGTTGAAGATCAGGTGTCGTTCACACAGAAAAGCTGATAAAAGATAAGATGTATCCATTTCATATTTATTGTGGTTACTGTAATCTGAAAAGGTCGAACCCACTTAAGGACAACAGGCACAGCTCGGTGAATGTTATGTGGCCTAAACTGTTCAAGAGTGTAGAATCGCATGAGCATTAATGATTTTTTGTTATTTTTTTTATACAGTAATAACAAAAGCTACAAAGAGGTATTCTAGATGTTTTACTAATCTGTACTGCATCTACTTCAGCCTTTTTGTTTGTCAAGTTACCTGCCTTGACATTTGATCATGACTTTTAAATCCAAGACATTCTGAATATTCATTTATTATAGCTTCATTCTCATTGCACTACAACTCCATTCGTCATTCTGAAAATATATTTTTTTTATAGCTTGCAAAACACAGAAAATTCAGAATTAGATTTGAATATGATACAGTGGTGTCTTGATTCCATATGTTTTCTGATATAACAATAAGGAGTGGCTGAAAATGTGCGTTATGTTAATATAATTAATTATCATTAAATATTAATGAAATATTATTAATTAGTATTTCCATTTTCAGTTTATTAGAACATTCAGCATTATATGAGTACAGTATTGGAAACAAAAGCTGTGCTTACTGTGTCCTGATCTAATGTACTAGCCTCTAGCTAATATGTTAGCCCCAAGTTCCTTTAAAGCTACGCTGTGTAAGTTTTGGGGATTTGGAGACCTCTCTGGTGGAAGTGTGTAGGTGCACACAACATATAGAACACTTATGACGCGGTCCTGAAAACAAGAGTGCACAGACGCCATATTTTAGCATGTTTTTTCTCCTGACTCAGTAATACTCCTTCTTTCACATTAACAAAAAAATGTCTTACATAGTTCAGCTTTAACCTGTTGTCCAAAGTCGCTGCCCTCAGCATTCGACTACACAGTAAAGTTTTGTTCTTTGTTACTGTTCATAATAAGTCATACTGTGTCCTGAAGCACACTGACAAGTCTACATGACCTTAATGAAGACCTGGACGTGGTTCATGTGGGTTAATAGATGTTTTGGGAGGAGACTTGGATGACTATTGACTTCGTGTGTGTTAGCATCATTAGCCTCATAGCTTCAGTGCTAAACTAAAGAAATTTGTCTTGACTGATGACTACGGAAAATTGTGTACATTTAATTTTTTGTCAAACCATTCTGTTAAGTCTAGCCATTAGTTTACATGCCAAGCGGTACAGCACATTATACAACAGTTAGTTCCGGCCACACAAGCTGATTGGTTGAGAAGCGTTCTAACTGCTGTTATTTCGCCTTAACATCACGTTTTTTTCACAAACACTGTATCACTCCGCTGAGACGACGTTGCTAAGCAATGACTTTGACAGCTGTAGGAGACGCTCAAGCCATTTGAACATTTTTACTTCTTACTTTGTTCACAACAGAAAATGGATACTTTTAAGATCAGATTTGACCGACAGCCGATTTGGTCAGACTCTGAAGATGAGACGACACTAAATTCCCAAACTGTCATCACCACTGAGCAGCTTTTCAGTCGGCAGCTGTGACAGAAGAACAGCTAAACAACCTGGAATCAGCCAGAAATGAACCCAATACCATTCGCCAAACAAAACGGGCTGTAAGATGCTTTGATGATTACAGACTGGCTGGAACAAAACAACATTAATACTGATCTGGCAAAAATGGACAAAACTGAGCTGAACTTGATGTTGCGGCAGTTTTATGGCTCAGTCTGATTTGGTCCGACTGAAGATCAGACTACACGTTTGGCGAATGGTACTCGGATCATTTCTGGCTAATTCCAGGTTGTTTAGCTGTTCTTCTGTTACAGCTGCCGACTGAAAAGCTGCTCAGTGGTGATGACAGTTTGGGAATTTACTGTAAGGAGCTGCAGAACGAACTGCCGGCTGTGCAGCGAGTGAGCGGAGTTCGTTACTCTGACGTAGCAACAAGCAGCTTGTTAAGGAACTATAATTTGGTGAAGGAGCTGCGAACATTAAAACATATTAAACGCCGCGTTCACAGCCCAGTTTATTTATTTCTTACTTTATTTATTTAACTGTTGTATAAAAGTGATAGAACACTCGAGGTCGTGTGTTATCGCGAATAACATCACAGCTGTGATGATCTACGGCGACCAAATCGCTGTGATGTTATTTCGCGATAACACACTCCCTCTCATGTTCTATTGCTTACATACAATATGATACACTGCCAGTCAGTACAGTTCAGTACAATACAATACATTGTATTGTTACATCCCTGCTTTCTACTAATAATTTGAAACCTGTGAAGTTGCGTATTAAAATTACTTAAAAAAAAAAAAACTTGAAAACATTAATTCCAAACTTTTGAACAGTGGTGTATCTGATTTCCAGCCTTGTCAACAGATCTAACACAGTTCTTTTGAGCTCCTGTTGCTATTGTGACCCATTGCAACAAAACAGCTGGTCCCCCACAGCATGGAAGAGGCACTCTTACAGTCACTCAGTCAGGAACAATAAAAAAACGAGTGGAGAAGAGGATAGTGCACTGATTTAGTGACACAGTAAAAGGGCGATGGGGGATAGCATGAGGAGCGGCGTGGGCTGAAGATCAAAGTGCGGACAGAGCGAGGAGGTGAAGCGAAGACTGCTTCCTGTTTAGAGGTCCCCATGTGTGTGTTTAACAGGCTCTCACCTCAGCCCTACCTCTACAGGGGCCAGACTGGAAACACTGCAGCCTTTTGTCTGCCTCCAGACCTCTCCGGATTCCGCTCCCCATCCTGTGTGCACATAGAAAACAGCTCTGTGATGAAATGGATCGTGTTTGGCTTTCAGTGAATCTGCCTGAAGGGACGGTTTGGAAGCGTTTAGCCCATTTAAGAGATAATTTTCACTTTACTTGGAATTACACAAGTTACACGGTGATCGATCTAGTACACCCCCAAGTCTGTCTGCAGCCTTCTTCAGCATTTGCTTCAGCATCTTTTCTGTTGTGAGTAATGTGTACTGTTTTGGCTGAGTGCTCACTTGGCTCATCCTCAGGCTTCTGACTGTCTCAGCAGATGAATCTGTAGAAGCTCTATGAAGTATGTCAGAATGAGAACGTTCTCTGGTTCAGGCCATGTCTCATAGCAGTAAAGGCTAAAATATGAACAGGAATAGACTTGGTTTCCAGACAACTTTGCCTGGATCTGTTGAAACCACCAAGCCAGAATCAGTTGTCCTGTTTTGTTTAAGAGGGGCCGTATTTCAAACAGAACTTTATTTTTTTGCAAAGCAAATTACTCCAGAAGGATGACAAGGTGTGTTTTACAGTTTTCAGCTGTTATTCCAGCATTCATGGTGAACACCACCAATCACTCCACTCAGTTCCACAGTAAAATTTTACTGTATCACACTTCCTTTTGCAACTCAAGATGGCTGGAATAAAGACTCGAGGGAGGAGGTGGCTCCAGGAACGGCTGGAAAATGGAATTTTCTTGCATGTAGCCGATCAGCTAATGCATGTTTGGTGCCTGAAGCTTATTTCTTTAGTTTTGCACTGGAGCTACAAGGCTGTTGTAGTTAACAAGTAATGGCAGTTCATACCCCACCAACTGGCATCATGTAAACTGCCCCTGAGGGGGCATCATGTACCCCCTCAGGTTGTGTCAAGATGTTAAAGGAGAATTCCCAATTTTTTTTTAAGATGAAGAAGATTGCTTCATAATTAAATAATTTAGGTGTAAACAAACTCAAGTGGTGTTTCATCACGTGCACCATTCTAAAGAAACTTGTTGAGTCAGAATTGTTCACAGTGCTGGTGATAGAAACCAGACGTCTGCATTTAATGCCTTTCAAAGCTACCTCACAAAGCTATTACATGAAATTTTTACAAATATGCCTTGTGATTTTTAAGGTTTTGGTCTAAAATGTATTTTTTTAAATGCCATGGAGGTTCATGCAGGCAAAAGATGTTTGAAGGCAAAGTAGCACCTAAAGAAAACCAAAAATATTTTTTTCAGAGTTACCTCTGTTTTACGGAAGGAACATTAGACATAAAATCTCAGGGGACACATTTAGGTTCACTGGTCATTTTAGATATTAGATATTAGATGTAAAGAAATAAACTGGCCATATTTGCATTATGGCTATGCAAGACATTGCAACACCCTGGGGCCTAATTTCCAAAACTTTTCATTTTATATTTGTTGTCAAAGTGAGTTCTCAGCTTCCGCATTCAATTGATAAATAGCAAACCTTAAGCATGTAGCACACTTGAACTGCAGTTCATGTTAGGTTGGGAACTTGCCTTCATCTACGCACATTTTCACATTAGTTCTACATTTTATATGTCACAGTGTAAACACAGTGTAACTGTCTTCTTTCCAGTCAAATAGATGGGTGATGTAATTTTAAACCATTTTTTTTTGTCTACTGAAAGTCGACCCATTTTTCCACAAATCTGGGCTATAAACTATAAACAGATGGCGTCTCTTCAGTGATCTGCTCTGTAAAAATTATTTTTATAAAATAATACAAAGAGCGTCGAAGATTTTTGGCGTTCAGCAGTAAGTTGTAAGCATATAGCAATATGTGTGATCATAAAACACGTTCTGTTAATATGAGGGGAACTTTTACAAAAACATAAATAAAATAAAAATTTACATTTATTTCTTGCAGTTACTGAATAATTTGCCTTACGATTTGGTCATGTAAATTCAGATGGACAAACCAAAATATACCCTGGAGAATAAGAGGTTAAAGATTAAACCTGTGAGTACGGATGTTTTATTAATGTGGCCTGTGGTTTCTGTCAACATCATTGTTAAAAAATCACCATTAGCAAGTTTTGCTGCGGTGCACATTTCACACCACATCATTCTAAATAAATTTGTTTACATCTTAATGATGGAATAATGGTGAAATGTTAAAATACAAGAGAAATAAATTTTTAAATATCATAAAGTTATTTAAAATGGACAAAACACAGGATTAAAGACGCCTGCAGCTACTACTGTTTTACCTGTACAATGTATTTTGTCCATTCTTACAGACATTATTTCTTACAGTTTTAAAAAGAATTAACAGAATAAAAAATGAACAGCTCGGTTTACGGCAGCTGTGCAGTGATTAAGGCTTGCAGTTTGCTTTTAACATCTTCATTACTGTCTCCCATTAGAACTAGTTAGTATTAGCCATCACATCAGTCTCTACTTAAACAGCCACGGTGCTCCTCGGACAAAAAAAAGAACATTTTCAGGCCAGGGAGGATTGGGAGGGGGCCGTTAGTGGGGGAAAAGGCTGCGTGTGTAAACGATTGCATGGAAGTGATTTTGGCTAAAAACAACACAGTATTATGGGAGCTGGTAGGGGCAAAGCAAACAGCTCATATTTTAAGAGGACGGCGAAGCCAACTAGCACTGGAGCTGAGATAGGAAAGGGAGGAGGCAGTAAAAGAGCAGGATGAAGAGGTGGTGGTGTTCATTCAGAAGCACCTCATACATCTTTCAAACCCGTAGCCATGCAGTGGTCTTCTTGGCCTGTTGCTTGGCTAACCGTCAGAAATGTATCTGGGTCTGAAATGAGCAAATTAGTTTATTTTTATCACTTTAGCGCTCATGTTCTTAATCAAGAGGTCGCAGCTGTGACTCGCAATTAATCTAGTTGTATTTGCTCTCTTTAACTTAGAAAATGCACAGTATTGTACTGATTGAGGAGACTTCCATTAACTGGCCCAACACACTGCAGTGTTTGTGTGGAAATGTGGAGGGTTTTGCAGTGATTTATTGCGCCTCGTTTTGCTTTTTGAAAGTTTCATTGGCGTTTCCCATTTGCCACGGGGTAGAAGGCTGACCCCCACATGAAATATGGAGACAGCTGTGCTAGTGCTGGACTTTTAGCAGTAGCATTAGAGTGCCATCTAGTGGTGCAAAATCCTGATTTATGCTTTAGGGATGCTGCTTTACAGATGTGAATGTACTGAGACATTACATTTGAAACATCATGCTGACTTATTTGAAGTACTATAGAACTAATACACAAGTAAAATAGTATAAATAACATAAATAATGTTGACCATTCGACAGAATTATTTCAAACCACAGTCCCACAGTAACACTTAAAAAAAAAGAATGTAGTCAGACCTTAGTTATGATATTTATAAGGGCTATGTTATGATCTTTTTAAACTAATTGAGATAGTAATAAGCTAAAAATATATATAAAAACATCATTTACAGTTGTGCATACATGAAATCATAATACTTTTTTGTGCTTTATTGAAAAATAGTATGATTTTATGTATATACAACTGTTCAAAGCTGTGTTTGCGAGTCATGTACTGGCTAGCTTTTTAATGCGAGTTATGCACAAAATCATCTAGAATTGTCACCACTTATACATTTGGTGAAGTTTCTGTAGTTTTATGACTGTTTTGGTAGTAACAAAATGGAACGTTCAAAGTGAGGAATCAGCTTCTGTTCCTGAAGTGAAGCGCCAGCCCACCAGTATCTCATTTACATACCATTTACATGAAGCACACCTAATTAATGTAGATGTTTCAATAGGAAGCCAATAATACAACAGCATTCAGCTGCTCCTGAGCCAGTGGCTGTGCTCGCAGGCAGTTTGAAGTTGAGCAATGAGTGCACAGCTCCCCCTACTGACCAAACTTTATAGTGTTAAAATAGTGACAACTGGGAAAAAATAAAATGTGAATAAACAAAATGTCTTTTTTAAGATGGTAGAATGATGTGTTTGTGTGGTGTTATTATTTTTCTAAACTAACATCCTGAAATTTTATATTATTGCAGTGTATGAGATGCTCATGCTGTGTTTTGTATTGTTTATTTTTAAGTAGGATAAAACAAAAGCGCAGTGTGATACGTCTTGAAATGGAACCTGGAATAGTTGCAGCCTTTGTTTGTACCAACGTGCATGGAAAATACATACATACCTACATTTTTGTACTGGATTGTCATGTTCACAAACAATTAGTATTATTTTTATTTTTCTGTTTTTTGCTTGTCATTGGTATCATAGATATATTGATAATGGTTTTGGTTAGTAGACAACAAATGTTGTTTTTTTTGTTTTTTTTTCCCAGGTTAATAAATAGTTATGCTCAAATGTACACACACTTCAACCAGACGTGAGTTTGATCTTACAGGTGAAATTGATGTAAAATAAAACTGTGAATGAAATTTGCAGATGCTCAGATTTGACTGTATGCAGTTTTGATCAACAAGGGCCATTTTTACAATAGTTTTCAGATCAAAGTTTGGCTTAATTTCATTTTATTATTATTATTTTTTTTATTTTATTATTATTATTTTTTTTAGATATATTCATGGCAGAGAGGTACATGCAGGGCGTTGTGTGCCAAAATAGTCCCCAGAGAAGATGTTTTTTTCAGCTTTATTGTTTTACTATCTTCAGCATTATATATAAAAACTAAAAAGACGTGTAGGTTCACTGGTCATTTTGGTTAGTTCATAAAATGGCTATATTTGTGTTGTAGGCATTGCGGGCCCTGATTTCTGTCACCACCACTGTAAAGAAATCAGTCATTAAGGTTTTCTACTATGCAGCATTTCACACCAAACCACTCTGAATGACTTTGTTTATATCTGAACATGAACTATGCAGAACTTTAGAACCTTTTCAGTGGAATTCAAATGGAAATGAAATGCACTAAACCACATAAAAAAAAAAATTATAAACTTCTAATATTTGTGATCTTGTTTAAATGATGTCATTTGCTTACTGTGCTGTTTATCCTTCCCCCCCCCACAGTGCTGTATCAGACGGGTTTGGCCAAGTGGCTGGAGGTCCTTTGCGTCCTACGACGGCCTACGGCTTCCGACCGGATGAGCAGTACTACTACAGCTACTCAGCATCGCGGTAGAGTTACTGCAGACCACCCTGACAATATAAAATAAATCAGTGGTGTTACATTTGCTCATCGTCTTTTTCAAGTGAAGTCAACACTACTCATTTTATTTATTTGCTCCATTTAAAACATCACTCTTAGTCTAAAGTGTGGGTTGGACCATGTTCTCGCTGGTTTCATTAAGTCAGGGGTTTCGAGGTTTTCATAATGATACTTTATGATATCATAAGCAGTCACTTCAAAATGTATAGTACAGTTTCAGTGTGTCTTTTACCCTGCAGTGGATCCATTTGAAGTTAGAAGCATTGCTGTATCTGTTCAGGGGCACCACAGTGCTCTTTCAACAGCAAAGGCAGGACTTCATATTTGCATGAAATTTCAAACATTATAGTTCAGTTCAGAGGTCCAGTTATTACACATATAGCAACCGTGTTATTCTTTACATTGCATGGTGTTGTTTCGTTTTTAAGAAAGAGTAGAACTCATGTAGAGCTTTGAACAACCAGGATTCTGTGGTCAAACATTTTAAGGTGTTCGTTTTTTCTCAGTTATTTATATGTATGGCAGCTTTGCTAACAGCAGAACAGAAAACTTGCAGGCTAAAGTAATTCTAGTCACTGGCCACTTTACCAGGCGCATTTGCCCTATCGCTTATTGTCTGTTTTATCCAGCTGTGCTGAGCATAATACCTGCTCAGTGGTGGTCCTGTGGCAGTCCTGACCACTGATAAACAGGGTAAAGGAGGACTAACAGATTATGCAGAGGAACAAATGGAACTTAGATCGTCATCTAAATTGTCTCAGTAAAAGATACAGTCGTGATACAATATCAGTTACAAAGTACCATGTGAGCATTACAGAGCCTTACCCTATAACTTCTGTTTACCCTGATAATAATATAATTACCATATAATTAGCATCTAATATGATTTAATAATTTGATCATTTATGATGGGCCTGTTCGGCAAAATTTTGTTTTCCAACCAAACGAACATGGATGTTAACAGTACTCGGTGTTTTCCCTCTAGATGTTTTTCAGGCTGGGTCATGGACTCTTTACAGTTACCAGAGTTGTAATGCGTACATGGTTTCATCGGAAGTCAGGTAATTTATAGACGATACAAAGTTAACATTTGACTGAATGCTTTACAGTCTATAGGGTTCGATAATAATTTGCATATGTTCCTGTAGGAGGGTACAAAAATAGTCTTCTGCAGTGTTAACAAACTTTTTGGTATCAACACTAAACTCTGTTTGGACTGTCTGGTCTGTAAGAAATCCAAAATAGTTCTGTATTTGATTATAAGGCCTTGCGAATAACACCAGAGGACGTTGACTGTCTGCAAACATCCAGCAAGGGGAGCTCTCGCAAAGATGAAACACTTCTTTTATTGTTCTCTTTTCAAGAGTAGAACACAGATTTCAAGAAAACTAAAACTACTCCAAACTAATGATACCAGATTGCAGGAACAAAACACTTTTAATGAAACTCTGTGATTAAAGATTACTGTGATGAGATGCTAGAAGACTACGCTGCTCCTTTGGCACAAACCAGCTCGACTCTGATGGGGTCCGCAGTGTATGTGGGTATTTAAATTTGTAAATAGATCACCCAAAACAATTTGAAAGAAGATTATTTAGCCCAAAATGGGAAAAAAACAACACCAGAAGCAAATGTCTGTATCTCAGCTTAGTATGCTAAACTGGGTTTGGTCATAGAGGAGGAGAGGGTCCATCAAAATCAACAAACGGGCGCCCTTGTTCTGTACGAGCTTGTGCATTTTACTGTCCACTGTGAAAGAGAACGAAAGAACGATAAGTTGCATAATATTGGCGTTTATTTAAATTATCGTGCCATTTAATTATATCCCAAAGCTACTACAGTGTGTACCTATAGGGCAAGTGGGCCTGATAAAATGGACAGTGGTTGAAAATAGACTGTATGTGTACCTAATAAAGTGGCCAGTGAGTGTAGATGTGATTGCACTTAAAGAATACCCTCAGGAGAAGGTGTCACCAGTCGTACTCAGACAGGCCTGGTGTGGCTGCAGGTTTTCATTCCAACCTCATAGAACCAGTTGTTTGAAGACAGACCAGCTGATTAAACAAGCAGAATCAGATGAGCTTCTACTTGATGCAAATGAAAACCTGCAGTCACACCAGCCTTTTCTGGATAAGACTGGTGATTGTTGCTGTAGGACATTCAACCTGGAATCACATCCTAGTTAAAACACTATTGTTGCACCCTGCACAGGTCAGTCTGCTCCTATAGAGGGGCATTCATCTTAATTCTTAACACCTTAAAGCCTAAGGGCTGTGGGTCCATGCTTCAGTTCCTCACTTGAATAACTGCATAACCTTCATAGTAGCTACCAAGTAAGTGTGGTTACTGATTAGTCTTAAGTCTTAAGATTAATGACTGAACAATAAGCCTAGGGTCCAAGGAGTCGACTCCATTCTTCAGTGATATATTTATCTGTGCACAAACGCAAACACAGGTATTTCAGTTACTTACTGAAGCCTGAACATTGCACAAACTATGTACTGGTGGAAATATTTGACACTAGCTGAAGGGTAGCTGTGTCTTAATATGTCTATTTATTTTTTTGTATTTGTAAAATGTCAAAAATAAGAGAAAAACACTGTCTATTGCCTTGTATCTGTTTCTGGTGAACAACTGCTGTGCAGCTCAATATCGTGCACTGTTGAACATTATGCTTTTTTTGGGAAATTGAAAAAAGCTGAAGTGAATGTTTAGAAAATATATATAGCTTTTTATTTGAAGTAATGCTGTTAAATTTCACTACATGTGCTTTGTCTTTTTGGTGCCTGAAGATCGTCTTAACTGCTGTTTTATATAAAATATCTTTTTATTTCTGTGGTGCAATATTAAATGTAAACAAGTATGACGTTCATTGCTCGCCACTCGCTTTGTTATTCAGTGAAAGATTTCAGCGCATAACTTATCAGCGCCTTCATTTCTCTGTATTGTACTGAATCTGACCCACAATGTATCAGTTTCACTCTCATTCATGTGCGTTCGTGTCCATGTTTCAATGTCACATCCTTTGTTTGCACAGAAAGCCCAGGGGGCTAAGGGCTTCTCATCTTGCAGAGAGACGTCCCTCGATTAATAGTGACAGATTGTTCTGATGTTAAATGTGCTCAGACTTCGAAAGTCCTGGAATGCAGAGAGATAAAGTCCATTATGTTATCCAAGCGTTATCTAGTGGCCTGAAAACTGATGGATGTCTCCCTCAACGTCTGTCCCTCGCTTTTATTTACTTTCACTCGCTTGTCACAAAGCGGCGCATTCCATTCACATTTTCTCATACGGTTCCGTCCCCATTCTCAGTTATGTAGTGCAGTCAGCTCAGCACTTAAAAAGGAACTGCACTTTTGACGTAATTCTGTTCGCTGGCAGAGTTTGTGCCTCTGTGAGACAGATACAGATGCAACATGCAGATGACTTGACACAAAACATCATGACATCACAGCAAGAAAATGCAGCTTTATATTTGTTATTTATGTACAAAAATATAGGCAAAGCAACAGTTCTTTTTAACCAAGGTCTACTAAAGTACATCTTTGTTAAAAGCGAAAACAGACATCCCGGTAACTCATATACAGAGATGTACATAAATAAACCCGTCACACAAATATTTTGTAACCACTTGCACTGTAAGTGTACTTTGACTGGCACGTCACTGTAAAAGTAAGTACAACCTAATGAGTTCTGCCTGGGACAAATGTGACGGAACCAGATTCCAGAGAATCTAAACTGGTGAGTCTTGTTCTGCAGGTTGCAGTTAATGCCCAATTTACTGTTGGGTACTATTGCCAGACATGATCTTGAAACAAGAATGTCGGGGGACAACCATGAGAGATTTTGGTGAAAACAAACTAAGCATGAAATTTCTAACCCAATCCAGGGCCTCATGAAGGCGGAGCTTGAAGTAGGGGGAAATGATGCGCTGATCAAGACTGTTTAAAGGACAACAAGCCTGTCCTTCATCCTTGTCTGTAATGCAAGTTAGCGTTCGTGTTGAAAGATGAATCGTTTTTATATATATTCTAATTGCAAGTGGTGCAGTTAATTATAGTCTACATTATTAACAGTGTTGTCTTAAGTGGGGAAATTTAGTCCAATAGCACATAAACTGGCTTTAGGTGAGATCAATAAGAGAAAAGGTGGATTTGCTGGTGTTCTTGGCCAACAAAAACAGGCCTTGCCTTAATCTGTAGAAAGTAATCACAATATTAGTATGAAAAATCGCAATTAGATCTTTTCTCAATCGATCAGCTCTGGTTAGCATGGCTGAAAAAGCCCCCCAAAATTCCAAATAAGCATGTAGATGCAACAGTTTAAGTTGTCTCCAGATGCATATTCTCGTTACAAGATCACATCTGGCCCTTCAACTCGAGGCTGACTGCAAAAACACAATTTGAAGACCAGTTGCAAAAGCTTCAGTTTTATTTGTCTTACACTGTCTTTAGTGCTATATGGGAAAATTTAACCTAATGAAGCTTGTGAACCAGCAGTCTGAGACACTACATACAGTATTCACACCTCACGCCTGAAAAAATGGATGTGCTGGTCTTCTTGGCCTGGACTTTACTGCATAGAAAATAGTCACGTCAAAACACGACACAAAATTGGAGAGAAAAATTGATATCTTCCCAAATTCTTCAGCCCTACTTGTTGGTGTTGGATAACTGTGCCATCGAGCACAGACGGCATCATGGGTCAGGCCCTTAAAGGAAGTAATAGGCAATATAAAGCGTTTGTGTTTGTTCTAAACCATAGATGTATTATATGCATATGGACTTTATACACAGCACATCAGTGTTCAGATGATTGTTCATGCTGACTGGAAATAGACAAAAACATTCTCTAACAAGACTGTAACAGCTGTTTCTGATAAAGGGTGTTTAGGCAGTGTGCACAGAAGGCAGTTTCTGGACAATATTTTCAAGCACGCTTAAATTCGATTTTGCAGTTACTCTGATCATTTCAATATAGATCTTCATTTGTAAGCACAATACATACAATGAGAACAGAAGAGAAGAGGAACAGAAGAGGAAAATCTGTTTCTCACTCAATGAATGTAACGTATTCTTTGTTCAAAACAACAGTAAACAGGCCTCTGAAATCCCCATGTTACCCTACACAATAATAAAGCTCTACTTAAAACCAGGAAAAAGTGTAGCGTTCCCTTCTCATTTAACACCTGGAGGACTGAGGATGTAACTGTCCCAGTCTTTTAGTAAGAAATGATAACGTTAGCAGACGGCGTAACACGTCATCAACTGCCTTCGAGTCTCCATTTATTCATAAACAATACGTCCTCTTCCTTACAGTGTGTTTCCTCTTAACTATTTAAAGTCTGACTTCTCTGGCTGTCACTCTGGCTTAGTCACACCTCTCCATCGTCAGGGTACCGCTGGATGAATTCCTCCACTTCGATAACTTCCACCACCAGGTCACGGATCTCCTTGATGCAGTCCAGAGGTCTGGCCACAGGCGGTGCCACTGTAGGGGCTTCTCTTGGCTTCTCGGGGCAGGGACAGGGCTGGGACTGTGGTTTTGATTCTGGAGCTGAGGGCTGTGGGTTTGCAGCTGTTTCAGTGGTGGCACTGGCTTCTGGTGCAAAATTAGCCTCAGCAGCTGCAGCTTCATTGCTTGCTTCAGCGTCTGCGATGCCTGCACACTTTACTACGACAAATTCCCCAGGTTTAGCGACCCCTCTTGATGGGTCACCTTCATTGGCGTTCTCCACCACCTCCTCGTCCTTGGTCACCCATGACGCAATATCAGAGGGGACCACGTCCGGTGTCGTCTCGCTCTCTGTGAAATCAAAAGGATCATCCTCTAAGACTTCAGTCTCTTCAGGTGCTATGAGTGAATTCTCGCTTTGAGGGCCAGGCTTGTCTGAGCTAATGCTAGTGCCAGTTTCTATGACATGTGTGAAGCCTGTTAAAGTGTCATTATGCTGCGTCACTTGATCCAGAGGCCTTGTGTCTTTCTCTGCAGAACTAGAGTTGACTGTCCCGTTGGCTACTGGTTCCACTGCCTCTGGAACAGGTTCAGCCAATGTTTGGGGAGCTGCAGTTATGGATTCTACATTAATCAGGCTAGGTGGGTCCACCGATGTCTCTGTGGAGAGGGAAGTTACCGTAACAGGCTCTACTTCAGCGTTTTCTCCCTCATTCAAACTCTCATTGGCAGCAGACGTGGCTTCAGCTGCCTCCTCCACGACTGTTCGGTGCACTATATGTGTCTCAGTTCCAGTACTAAGAGGCATCTTTACCTCTACCACTGCTTTCTCTTCTGATTTGTGTCCTCCACCAGTTTGCAGCCCTGTAGGTGCTTCCAAAAGCTCAGTTTGCACTTGTGTAGGGCAAGCCTGAACCTCCACCCGCTGGGCTACAGCCACCTCAGGCTCTACAGTTTTAGCCTCCTGCTTCTCACTGGCTGGTACTCCACCATAGCTGTGGTCCAGCAGAGGCGAGGCAGGCTTGGCATGGCGCTGAGCTGGGGAGTTGTTGGTGTGGCCCGGACTGCCAGGTAATGAACCCGGGGGAGTGGAGTGCAGGCTGGAAACGCTGAAATTGTACCTGGACTCCATGAACAGGTTGTATTTCTTCATACTAGCCGCCTCCTTCACCACTGTCAATAAAACACACCCAGTGGTCAGAACAGTGGCTATTTGACCAAAAGTTAATAACAAACCAGAATAAAATAGCTGCTGTGTTTTTAAGCTGAGAGGATCTCTATGTAACTCACCTTTGCTTACTTCTTTTTCAAGTATCTGCTGCAGGATGTCCTCATAGATGTTCTCCACGTTGATGAAGGATACATAATCAGCAAATATGTACTGCTCAAATGTTGGTAGTTCCTAAAAAAAAAAAAGGTACATTTTTAAAAAATGGAATAAAAAAAAGGTATCTAGTGTGACCAGCATTTTCCTGTAGCAGCGCGACACATTTCTAGGAAAAAATCCTGGATGGGAGCAAAACCAAAATCATTGCATTTATATTCAGTATATCGTTGCTGTTCAAAGAAAAACAAGTGTCTTGTTTTTCTACATCCTTTGAGCAAAAGTGGTTCCTTTTACATTGTGTGAAAATTTCTTGAATCGGTCATCAAAAATGCTCCAAAATAGCTTGAAATGAAACCTTTTTACATTAACTTACATTAGAAGTTCTTCTGAAAAGTTTTCTTTTTGGAGATACCTGTTTTTCTTTGGAAAGTGACGATATTTATTTTGTCTTTGACCAATGCACTACAGTGGAGTACACTGGACACTTTAACCATTTAACCACTGGTAAACTTTAATGAAGTTCTAGCTTACTTGAACCAAATGACACTTATTAAAGCAATAAACCACGAGAGGCCGTGGGTTACTGCGATTTTATCACGGGAAGGGTGTCCTAAAACTCTCTTCCCTGGGGTAAAATCGCAGTAATCCATGGTCTCAAGTGGCTTATTGCTGTAATAAAACTGCAGCCAACATGAAATATGATAAAATACACTATTGTTTAGAAAATAATTTTAGTCACTATTAATAATCATCTAAACTGCTTATCCTTCACTACGCTGAAATTTGAATACTGGATCCTGCAGCCCAGCAGTGCAAAATACAGCTAAGAAATAGTCATTTGGGACTCAGATCCACACTCGATAAATGAGGCACTGTTTGTCTGTAGAGGCTAGAATTTCTAAACTTTCATAGCTACCACACTATTTAGGGAGTACGGAGCCGTTTGGGATTCAGCCTGGGTTTGACGCAACTTCTGACTGAAACATGGACGTTTGAAGCGTGCAAAACATTCGAGTGACATTTTTAGTCTTTTATTCTGCAGTTTTACAGTTAATCTTACCGTAAGTACTTTAACTCAAGCCTGTGATATTAATGATGGAGTTGTTTAGGCTGTTGACTATCTTTTAGCCTGTTAGCTAGCTGACCAGCCTAGTTCTAGTTAAGAACATAAGCTGCCAGCCCCTCAGTTTAAACAAGAAAAACGGGTTTTTACTTTGTCAGTGTACTCGGTGCTCCGTGTGAGCAGCATGAGAGTCCAAAGATTATTCCATTAACAGCACAAGGGTTTTTCTTGTGCCGTTCAGTTGTTGTGAGGGGGTCATAGGTATGGGTATGTCGTGAATTTTACAATGGCTTAGAACCTGGCTCAGCGGATCAGATTTTAGGACCGGAACTATCCGTTTTATATTTCAGAGAAAATGACTTTAGCACATCAAACTGATGGTAGACTTTGTTTGGAGAAATCCTGGAGAAGAGTGGAAATGTTAAAGTCCAAGGCTGTTTTTCTTAAAGTGGTGTTGCTAAGCTTGTGTTCATGGACTGGATACATGTACAAACCTGAAGAATTCTACAAAGAAACTGCTCAAACAATAACTATCTAAAACACATCGGCTGCCTTGAACATTTTGCCAAAAAGGAAATAGGTTTTGTAACGGTTTGTGAAAAATAGATGCTGCTTGCTTTGACACTTTGTTTCCTAAAGCAATGAAATTAATACATTTTTAAGTATAGCACAAATGTCCAAATACTCTTGGGACTGCTGTATGTTCAAGAAAATTTTCCGTTAAATGCTCTACAATCCCACAGCTCTATAAATGCATAAACCTAGAATATTTCTGAGGATGTATTTTGTTGTGATTAAATGTCTGTACCTTTTTGAAGGTAGGAGCTAGATGGGCTTTGATGCTGGGCAAAGTGATGTTGATCAGAGCTTCCTGGAAGATCCTTTTTCTCACTGTACTGCTGTCATAGTCATATTGCTGGTGGATACAAAAGGAACACAAATATTTTATATTTTTCAATTACATAAATAAAAAATAGCATTATAAGACAGCACAGACATATTTAGTTGATAGTGATAATGTATGGGTGTGTATATTCACCTTTAGAACCCGGTGTTTGGCTTTCACCATTGCGTCTCCCAGGTCTTTGTTTTCCTGCTCGGCTTTGCACAGGAGGAGCTCAAAAGTGAACGCTACGTTCTCCACCAGCTGCCAAATTCATGCAGAGCAGTAAAGATTTAGGCCGACAGTTTCAACAAAAAAGAGCTTCAGCATTCAGGGTCTAGTTACTTTCACTAATAGTATATATTAAGCCTTGACCAAAATTGCTACTAAGGACTGCTGCTTTTTTAGCACTGTAACATGCTACCATTCAAAAATCTGAAATCACTTGTTGTATTAGTAATGTGTTATTTGAGTTACTATATGCTGTAAACTATGTATTGTAATTTTCTATTCTTCTTTTCTATTCTGCTTTTTCTGTGAAGTTATCTGTCTCAAGACTCGATTACTTTTTTAATTATGACATTCTGAATGCTGATATTATAGTTATAGTTATACATCTTTTCTGTCATTTTAAAAACATCTACAAACATCTACATCTACTCAAGGTAACTGGGGGGATGCGGGGGCACAGGGTGGTTGTTGAGAAAAAAAGGCCCATATTTCAAACATATTTTTGAGAATAATTTCATAAAATCTTTCCATCTCTCACAGTTACAATGATGTAGCAGCACATGCTGAGCACAGGACACTGTTGCTGCTGAGTGTAAAAGCTGAGTGTAAAGCCTGTGCATCATGTATTTTTCCCACCTGAAGAGCTTTGTTTGATTCACCTCCTTCTTTCTTCACTGTTATCTTTACAATATCATGCTACATAACTGAAAACAGAGAGTGACTGGTGGGCTCTGACTTGTAGGGATGGGCGATACCACTAATTTTTTTGGAAACCCAAGTAATACCAGGGCTACTAATATTTTTCTTGATGATTTTTCTACAGTGAAAACCAGTAAAAAAAAAAAGTGGACATTAAGAATTACATTTCAAAGCTGTTGCATTAGTATTAATTAAACCGCCACATAAACAAATGATCTGCCATTATAGAGCATTCCCTGTGTTTCAATTAGCTGTCTGTGTGTGTAAGCAGAGGGAGAGTGAGGAAGGAAAAGTAATTCCTCTCCAACACATTTATTTAATCAATCCACTTGTCAAAGTCCGACTAAAAATAAAACCAAAACTGTTGTTTGGTTTATTTATGATTAGCAGTGGGCAATGGTTTATAAATTCATTTGATTCTTAGCATTTTAAATCTGTGTTTGACTGATGCAAACTAATTAATACACTTTTTTAAATATGACATTCTGAATGCTGAATTTTTTTACAGGTTTTACAGCTTTTCTGTCATTTTAAAAATATCTACAGCTCTGTTTTTATTCTGGACACATCTAAAATTCCTTACAGGTTGCTAGCTTCCTACTACTTATTTCAAAGCTGTAAAATTGCAGAGTTCTTGCATGTTAAATTCATTTTAGACATTTACCTGGAACAGATTGGTTTTATATTGTTGAAAATATCCAAAACTTTTGTGGTGTTCTTTGATGCACTGCCACATCCACTAAAAATGTAATATGCCCCTCTTATGTGTTCACTCTGGTCTAGTCTTGGGCTTTTTCCAGCTGTTCCTGATCTTAAATAATGAAATTAGCTGCATAGCTAAGCCCATGAATGAAAGCTCTGCTTGACGTTCAGGATAACATACCTGTTGTATATCAATCTGTGTGCTGTGCTCCAGTCCTTTGCTGGTGGAGTAACTGAAACTTTGCTGTAACTCTCGGATATGTTCTTTCAGTCTGCTCACTTTCTCATAACAGGTATGTAGGTTTGGTTTTCTCATCTCCACCAAAGCCTATAGAGAGAAAATGTGTTGAGTATGTTTAGCTTTGAAACAGTGCAGTAAAACATATCCTGTTCCACTCATTCATGAGTTTCTGATGTGCTTCACAATGGCTGAGACTTAGGCCCAATCCCATTTCACCCGTCGCCCCTACCACTGAGCCCTTAGCCCTCTGTTTTGCACGTTCACGTCTAGGGGTAGGGTGTCCAAATTTTTGTTGAGATAGAGGAGGAGGATGAAGTGTTGGGGCTACATGGCCCTCCAAACTGGGGTTTTTCAGAGACTCCTAACAGAGTGTTATCAGAAAGAAAGAAAAACCGGCAAGATGGCTAAACAAGAGACCAAAGAAACCCACAAATGTGGGAATTTTCTCTGTTAAAAAATTACGATAACCACTGTATTAACTTAGTTTAATGTCGTTTCAGTGTATTATGGTCGTTTTCTTCATAACAAGCATAAAAATCGCTAATACTATGCTAATGTCTCAGTAGCTAGCTAACTTGCCCCGTTCCACCTTAAATAGTCCAGCAGTTCTGACGCCTGAAGCGCCAGCATGTAACTTCTGCACCATTTAAGGTGGAACGGGAAAATTCGAACAAGAAGCTGGTGAATATCTGACTTCAGCTTCGCATCACCAAAGAATTAGTGGTGGGTGATAATAAATAATTGCCCCCCTCTTTGAAAACATATGATGCCCTAAATGTAACTAAAGCCCAGCAGTGAGGAGCTGAACTTTACCCTCCTCTGCTATCACTGAAGACGGGCAGAGTCACCTACAGAGCAGCGCTAGTAGCTGTTAATGAAGCAGTGTTAGTTTTTTTGTTTTTTTATTTGAGGGTCCCATTTCGTAAGGCAAGATTTCAACCACTACCCCTTGTAACTCAGTTCCAAGGGGTTAGGGTGACACTCGAAAACAAGGGGCAGGGGTAAAAAGAAGAAATGGGATTGGGCCTTAATGCTGTAAAACCATCCTATAATTGCAATCATATATTTTTCCATTATGTAAGGTCTGTTTATCCCGGTTGATGGTTGATGGCTAAAAGCTGTAATTCTCCACGAGATCTTTGTTCATGTAGCCAGTGTTATGTACATTTGAGTGCTGATCAAAGTACATTAGTTTAAGATCAGCAATGTAGTTGGTCAGCTAAGACATTTTGCTGTCAGACATTTGCTTCTTTAGTTGTGCACTAGAGCTACAACGCTAATGTACCTTACAAGTGATGAAAGCTTAAAGAAATTCCACCTTTTTTAAATATCTGAATAATTCAGTTGTGGACATGTAAAGTCATTCACAGTGATCCGCTGTGAAATGGTTTATTGCAGTGTAACTTGCCAACTCATATTTACTTAAGTGGTGGTGACAGGAACCAGGAGTTGTGTCTACATTGCAGAATAGCCATTTTATTTACCATTCAGGGTTATTCAAATGACTAGTGAGCCTACACGAGTCCTCTGAGTTTTCAGATGTAATGCTGATTTTGGTAACTTGGGGGTAGATTAAAAAAATATATAGAAACATTAAAAATATATATAGTCTTTTGGTTCTACAGGGTGAGTCAAAAAGATTCATCCAATTTCAAAGAGCCATGTTTTTACAACCGTGAGGCGCCTAGGAACCAATCACATTCCAATTGGAAGAGGGGGTCAGAGAGTTTCTGACTGTCAGTGGAAGATGGCTCCCTTCAGTCTGAGAGGAGATGAGACCCCTGAGCAGAAAGCGTTCTGCGTTCTCCACTTCAACAAGAGTGAATCCATCATAACTTTGCAGCGTGATTTTCGTCAGCAGTGAAGCTCCAACAGCTCAGAGCGTTCGTCGTTGGTTCCACAACACTGGATGATCTCCGAAATCGCATTGAAAGAGCTGTGAGTGCAGCGACACCCAACATGCTCAATCGAGTATGGGATGAATTTGACTATGGCGTTGATGTTGTCTGTACAGCTGGTGGAGGTTCATATTGAGACCTTGTAAAATTACATAATAAACTTTATGCTCATTTAAACCATTTACAGTTTACTGCATTGTTCTGTAATGATTTACAAGTCAAATAAATCATTTTGAAATCGGATGAATCTTTCTGTATTTTGCTCTTCAATTTACTGAATGTATTTTTTGAGGCATGAAAAAAGGCCAAACCTTTACTGCTCAAATAGGACCGTTTTCACCCCTTTAAATTCTGGCTGAAAACTTTCCTTTCTGAACAGGCTTTCAGCTCAGAGGCTTTTAACTAAGTTCAAAACTCTGTTGGCTCTACCGGACTTCTCTCCTGTAACCGCACTGTACTGTCCTAATTAATTTTTTTTCTCTTTAATTTTGTTATTTTCATCTTTAATTCTGTTGTTTTAAGCATGTTTTGACACAGTGTATGAAAGGTGCTGTATAAATAAACTTGTCTTGATTTGCTTTGCTGTGAACAATTCTGACTAGATAAGTTTCTCTAGAATGATGGATCTTCCATCAAACCACTTTGAATGACTTATAACTCAATGTTTATATCTTAATGGTTTAATTATGCAGAGATTTCCCCTTTGTGGCCTACTAATTAGGATCATTTCTGACACTGTAAGACTCTGAATGAAGGTCTTGTTAGCTGCTCCAAGCAGCTCTTTCAATACAGGACAGTATTGTGCAGTGCAGGCATCTATAATACGACGTAGGGCTTCTATGGCCTTTGGCTCACCAGCTGGACCTCGTCTTTGGTCATGCCGTCCTGGTAGTCCTGATACAGCTGGTCCATCATGGCCTCGCTCAGCTCCCGTGCATCCTTAAAGCCCAGGCTGATGGGCCCCATCAGCTCCTCGAGGACGGCCGACAGGTATGGCTCCACGTGCTCCATGCAGTATTTGGTGGCTGGTTCGGCTACTGTGGCTGCAGAAGGTAAGAGGAGGTAAAGGCTACTTTCACTACTAGTTTTATAGATGAATTTCTCATTTTTTTGATCTGATGTTTCTGCCTTGATCATTCAAATTTCTGTTTGTAAGTCATTCCGAAAACACCTCTGCATGCGTACATGTTCAAAATCAGTTCTCATTACAGGCATATATATGTAATATGTATCTGATCTAAGTGGCTCAAATATGACTTGAAAAGCTCAGATTTATGTTTCTACTTAGTGGATTTTTCTCTAAAGCTTTTTCACAATGAGCCACACATTTCAGAGAAACATTTGCACTGTCACACACTATTTCCGTAAATCAGCTGTTCTCAACCTGGAGCTCAAGATAATTGGGGGGATGCGGGGGCACAGGGTGGTCGTTGAGAAAAAAGGCCTATATTTCAAACATATTTTTGAGAATAATTTCAAAAAATCTTTCCAATCTCTCACAGTTATGATGATACACTGTCAAGCTGCTGAGTGTAAAGCCTGTGCATCATGTATTTTTCCACATTAAGAGCTTCATTTGGTTCACCTGCTTCTTTCTTCACTGTTATCTTTACAATATCATGCTATCTAAACAAAGACAGAAAGTGCTGGTTGGCGAGTGAAGCATGCACACTGAGTCAAAGCAAAAAAAAAAAAGCCTCTGACTTGTAGGGATGGGCAATACTACTAATTTTCTTCAAAACCAAGTAAAACCAAGACTACTTTTCCAAAAATGATCCTTTATTGTTGATTTCTACAGTGAAAGCTTGTAAAAAGTGGACGTTAAAAATTATATTTCAAAGCTGTTGCATTAGTATTAAATAAACTTTATACAACAGTTAGTTCCAGCCACGCAAGCTGATTGGTTGAGAAGTATCACTGTATCACTCCGCTGACAGGCCATTGCTAAGCAATGACTTTGACAGCTGTAGGAGACGCTCAAGCCATTAGAACGTTTTTACTTCTTACTTTGCCACAAACAGAAAATGGACACTTTTAAGATTAGATTTGACCGACAGCTGATTTGGTCAGAATCTGAAGATGAGACTACACTAAATTCCCAAACTGTCATCACCACTGAGCAGCTTTTCAGTCGGCAGCTGTGACAGAAGAACAGCTGAACAACCTGGAATCAGCGAGAAATGAACCCAACACCATTCGCCAAACTAAATGCGCTGTAAGATGCTTTACAGACTGGCTGGAACAAAACAACGTTAATATTGATCTGGCAAAAACTGACAAAACTGAACTAAACTTGATATTGTAGCAGTTTTATGGCTCAGTCTGATTTGGTCCGACTCTGAATTCTAGGTTGTTTAGGTGTTAGGTTCTTCTGTCACAGCTGCCAACTGAAAAGCTGCTCAGTGGTGATGACAGTTTGTGAATTTACTGTAAGGAGCTGGAGAACGAACTGCCGGCTGTGCAGCGAGTGAGCGGAGTTCGTTACTCTGACGTAGCAACGAGCTGCTTGTTAAGGAACTATAATTTGGCAGAAGGAACTGCGAACATTAAAACATATTAAACGCCGCATTCGGGGGAATAACAAATGTTTTGCCCTTATAGAGCATTCCCGGTTTTAATTAGCTGTCTGTGTGTATGTAAACAGAGGGAGAGCGATCCACTTGTCAAAGTCTGACTAAATTAAACTAAAACCAAATTGTTGTTTATTTATGATTATCAGTGGGCAGTGTTTCCAACATTTTTATTCAAGATTCATTCGATTCTTAGCATTTAAAATCTGTTTGTGACTGAAGTAAACAATTTATTATAAGCATTTATTCTTTCACAGTCAGTGCAGCTGAATCGGGAGAGATTCTAAACGAGGCATCGAGAAAACAAATGAACTGTTACGCCACTCAGTATCAGTACCTCTGAGCTTGCTCTCCAGGAACGCTCGGGAGCTCATGATCTGGTCCATATCTGAGCGCATGAGTGCACTCTGCTTCTTGGCTTTCTCTTTGCACTCATCCTTCAGAGCAGTCATGCCAACCATCAGGGTCTCCTGCACCAGGTAATAAGCTGCCTCCACCGTCTGTGGGCCAGAAGGTACGTCATCATTTATTCTCTTAACAGTCAAGTAGAACCACTCACATTTTATTGAGGCCATCATTAATCTCATCTGTGGAATGTGTAAGCAGCTCCAAGACACACCAAAGAGACCTTTCAGTTTTAGACAATTGATGTACAACACCCTAACCTTGCTTTGAATGGAATCCCAGATGTAATTATTTTGGGTGTGGCCCTCAATACCCATTGACACCACACCATCCAGAGCAGAACCTGCAGTAAGGGGTAAATGAACTGAGCTATAGGTGAAGCCCACAGCTCATTTGTCGCAGCTTGAAAGAAAGAACTTAAAGCTTTTTCTGTGTCATAATGCAAGGATGACCAACCCAAACCCTACGGCTCTGGATTATTTGGTTCCACCTCGAGTCTACTGACAATTAAACCAGCCTGTCAAGGTGTTCAGAAGTATCTGAATTATTAGAGTTGGGTGTGTTTGAACAGGGCTGGGACTGAAATGTGCAGGGCGGTAGATCTCTAGCTGCTGAGTTGGCTATTTGTGTCAAAACTTTTGCAGCTTCTTTGTACAGAGCGGAAGTACAAAACTGTTTTGGAAAGATTTGGTCATTTTGGCACTCACAGCAAACCATGTTCTCCTCTTCTCTGTCTTCTTGGCCTTCAGACGGGGCAGCAAATCTTTTTCTAGAGATGGCAGCAAGTCCTCCATTATGAGATTTGCCAGCACCTAAAAACACATTTGGATCAGTTCAATACAGATTAGACCACACTTAACACAGGTGTTCAACACCTGTACTATCATTTCAGCGGCTCTTACCAAGGACAAACCAAATAAAACCTCTCTGACACTGCAGAACTTTTGAGCTGCGATTATTAATTGACTTGAAATTGACAATTACTGTAAAGCAGTAAATCTTAGCCCATTGCTCCAAAGACATACTTTGAGTTCCAGTTTATAAGGTACAGGTATTATTAGGTATTAGGTATATTATTAGGTAATCTACACTCATTAACAATTTTATCAGTTGTACTTGCCATATAGGTACAGAATTACTGACTGTATCTGTTGCTGGACAGTTTGTCAGCCACCCTTAATCAGGTATGGATTACATGACTGGACTAATGGGGCCAGCAGCCCTTTGACTACCAGGAGCCCTGAGGGGGACCTTAAACCACAAGGGACAATCCACTACAGATATATCATTAGATGAACAAATAGCCCTTGAATATGTCATAATGACTAAACAAATCATATCATATCAATTTTTTATATCACTGACTAATAGGATGTTGAGACAGTGTGACAGTGGCTAACTTGGACACTTGTGACACTGTGGTGTCCATCGATGCTTTATATCACTGTGGTGCTGAGAATGGTCCACCAAACATTTGTGATCAGCAACAGGCCTGTAACATTTATGAATGACATAGAATGTGGATGATAAACAACAACGAACAGATGGGCTACAGTCACTAACTGTATACATAACTGGTACCTATATGTACAAATTAGCCAAAGAGGAGCCAATGTATGTGTACCTAATAAACTGGCAAGTCTTTGTACATGCTGACCATGAATATAGTACATATGGTATAAACCACATCTGTCAAGCTCCAGTCCTGGTGGGCCAAAACACCTCAGACTTCAGCATGCAACCTCATTAAACACACCTGATTCAGCTGATCAGCTAATTAGCAAGGCCTTCATCAACTGAATTAAGAGCGTTAGATGAGGGTAAACCCTAATCTCTGCAGCACTTTCGCCTGGAAGGTCCCCAGTTTAACATGCCAGCTATAAATAGCCTGACTGATCCAAAAACAGCGCTGTTAAACAGACCTAAATCATTCTGCTCTTAATTTCAGCATTAGATGGTGGCTTTATTCTCAGTTATGCTGTAATGCAGGGAGACAGGCAGGTTAAACCGCACAGCGAAACTCCCTCTGTGCTGTTTTACTGCTTCCCCAGATTACTGACATTCCACACAGTGCTTTGCTCTGACGTAAGCGTGTCTGTGTGTGTTTGTGTGTGTGAGAGCTGTGTGGCGGCGTGCAGGTGTGTTCAACACAGCTATGTTTTGTGCCAAACGTGTTTGCAGTGAGAGACTTTGTTGATTGTAATGCAAAGGCATCAGGTGTCTGTGAGTGTGGAACGGGACAACATGGCTTCCTCCTGAACCAGAACCAACTAAACAGCCTAAAACAAACAAAACGTCTAATCATGCTGCCATCAGAAACCCACAGTATGATAGGGTGAGAGGAGATGCAGCTAGGAAGGAAAACTTTGGTCAAACAAAGATTGTTAAAACCCACAAAACTGCCATTTCTAAATGTACACAACTAACACTAACGGCCAGAGACAGCTGTTCTAAGGGGAGATCATTCTTTTTGTCCTTTAAAATCTCTCATTGTGAAGTGTTTAGAAAAGACTGTGGTATCAATGCTTAGAGTAGAGGTAAAATCTTTATTAGATCACTACTTTGCTTATCAACAAGATAGAAGTACAGACGGCACCAGTCTGTACCTTACACATTTATATTTTAATTCACAGGCGGATGAGGGTCAGTTTAATTAAACGGTACTTGTCTCTTTTAACTGATCGTCTGCTGTGTGTGAGGGTTATTAAAACTGTCAGAGTCAAGATCAGTAAGCAGTGGTGCTCCTCAGGGCCGCATCAGTTCTCCTGTCTTATTAACATGATACGTCTTTAACTCTTGTGTGGTGTTGATGTGTTTGTTACTCAGTGGTCTGGTGGACCCACCACATTATTGGTTTTTAATCAATACAGCCATAACGATTTATGTAAAATATCAGAGGTTTAAAATATCACAAGTGTCCAGTGTAGGGTTCTCCTACAGCAGCTGTAGCCAGTCAGCAGCCTGTCCATGTTGTCCACCCTCACACACACACAGACACACACACACTAACAGCAGGCCATGTAGGAGGAGAACAGAGTGAAGGACACAGCATCTCCACACTTTTATTCCCTGCAGGTTCACCCAACACCACATGTGTAATATAAATGTGTGGGGGGTGAACAGAGTGAAGACACTGAAAATGGGTTATTTTATATGTTCTTTACAGAAAACGAGCAAAGACCAAGAAATCTGGGGTTGAAATAATAATAAATCGCCTAATTTTTTCTTTTGGTAAACATTGAAAATGGGTCCCACGGACCTGAACACCACACAAGGGTTAAAAATGGCAGACTTTGATTGATGCAGCCCTGGTGGTACAGTTGAGAATAGACAAGAGTTCTTACCCTCACATCACTGCCAATCAGCATATCCCATGTTTCATAGTGGCCCTTCTCCTGCCTGTAGAGCTGAATGGCTTTCATGAAGGCCTGCACTTCACACGTCTTCTTCTTCAGAAAGTCTGAAAAGAGGATGAACAATTGAGCTATAAGGATCTGATGAATGAAACTTACACCATAATTTGATATTAACAGTTCCAGCTGAACTTGAATAGAGGTCTACACTGTAACTTTCTTGATAAACACACAAGTACACCTCAATAGGAAATCACCTGCTCTATTATTAGACCTTTTTGTGACTCAAATTTAACTTAAATAGCTGGCTAGCTAACACAGCTTTCTACTAGGGCGTTTTTGAAGGATATACTGTCTAGACATCTGTAAAAAAATTGGAGGAACATGCAAAGTACAGTCCTCAATTCCAAAAAGCTGAATATGTGAATTGCAAATAAAAACAGAAAGCAGCAACTTGTAAATCCACTTTAACCTGTATTTAAAACGAAAACAGATTTAATTTAATATCTTATCTACTTCATTGTTTTTTGTAAATATATGCTCATTCTGAAATTGAAGCCCTCAACATGTTCCAAAAAGTCTGGTTAGAGGCAATTTAAGTCTAGGACCATCTAGGAACAGTGAATGTTCAAAGACATCCTAAACAGATGATACTGTCCTGATTTTATTTAAAAGGATCATCCAAGAAAGGCCCAGTCCTTCATGAGCATGGATGGGTCGAGGCTCACCACTGACAAAAACTGTGTTAATGAATAGTCTAACAGTTTAAGAGCTATTATTATTAAGATCAGAAGGTCTTTTTGGGTATTTCACCCTATAGTGCATAATGATATCAAAAAGTCCTGGGAATCCAGAGAAAATTCTGTGCTTTAAAGGAAAAGCCGAAAACCACAAATGAATGCCCGTGACCTTTGACACCTCAGACATCACTACATTGAAAACCAGCATGCTTCTGTGATGGATATCACTGCATGGGCTTAGGAATACTTTGACAGGCTGTTGTCAATAAACACTGTTCATCTCTGCATCCAAAAATACAAGTTAAGACTGAACTATGCACAGCAGAACCTAAATGTCAACAACGTCCTGCTGACTTCTCTGGGCTAAAGCTCATCTGTAATGGACTGTGGGAATGTGTGTTGTGGTCTGTCGAGTCAACTTTTCAGATTGTTTATGGAAATAATGTGCGTTGTGTTCTTGGGACGGAAGAAAAAATGGAGCATCCAGATTGATGCTAGCATAAAGCTTAAAAGCCAGGATCTGTCATAGTATGGGGTGTGTTAGTGGGTAACTTGCACACTTGTGAGGGCACCATTAAAAATGAACCTTATGTACACATTTTGGAGCAACATATGTTGCCTTCTAAGCAATGTCTTTTTCAGAGACATCCATGGTTATTTCAACATGATAATCCCAAGCCACATTCTTTAGATGTTATAGTAGCATAGCTCTGCAATCAAAACGCGCACAATCACAAAATATGACAACGAAGGCCTCTAACAGTTGCGCCGTTAAAGACATGAATACCACAAAAAAAATTCCACTTCCAAAACTATATTACAAAGACAAAACAATAAAATTCTTAAGGAAAAACAACACAAATAAGATTTTGCGTTATTGTACTCAATTTTATACACTTCAAACACAACTGACTAATGGCTACTTTCTGTTTTTTTTTAGCATTTCACATGCTGTCCCAACTATTTTGAAATTTCCCATTAACCAGACGTACTGGTACTCAACATGTCTGGTAACAAGTGTACCTTGGTTCTGGTGGCGAATGCAGTCAGATAAAGCAGAGATGAACTCGACTTGCTGCTCTTCCTGGGGGAAGCAGAAGTAGTAATCTCTACGGTACGGCAGTCGCAGGTAGACAGGGTAATCTCCTGGCATGTCCTCAATAGGGGGAGCAAAGTCTTCCTTCACATCTGCAGTACAGAACACACTATTCAGATCATCACCACACCATAACACATGCTAACTCACAATTACACACTACAGGCGCAGTCTACAGCACCTTACTGCTGGTCAAACATGATCAGCCTATCATATATACAGCATTTAAAGTGGAAAAAAAAGCCCAAACAGAAAAAGCTATAAAGCTAAGTGAGTTCTGTACATCATTTCAAATAAAAATAGTCAATGTCTATTAAACTTTTCCCATTCCATCAGGTATATAAAAGACTAAAAAACATGACATGGGTCATTCTACAGAACCATCCATTTTTGTGTCCCTAGCGTTTACAGATATATTACACTTAAAACGTTAGTGTTACTATTTATTTATATTTTAAAATAAAACAATAACTTATTTTAACAATTACACCTACTTGAGGCATCAATTTAGCAATATTGGTTTTTAAATCAATTATCCAGAATTCCACGGACCACAGAAGAGCTCGTCCCCACAGTCACGTGTAAAGGGTGAGGCCATATTTTGCAATTTTAACTACAATAATCCTTACATGACTATGGAATATATAAATTAAATTACATAAAGAAAACAAATGCCAAATAAATATTATAAAATATAGAATGAAAGTTCCCCAGGAGTCGTGTCACTGGTGTTACTGCGTAACAAAAAATCTCTAACTTTAATGTAAAAGTCACACTGATGACATCACTTGACTTCCTTTTACCTATTTTCTGAGGATCTTTGAAGAAAAGCACAGGGTGAGTCCACTGTGTCTTTCACTTATCAGAGATTTTCTCATTTAGCTCATGATTTCATATTAAGCCTTAAAACGTCTCTGGTGTGACCTTTCTTATGTGCAACACCAATGAGGATTGGTAACACCAGTGACCCCTATGAATAGATGGAAAAGTGGACGTTTCTGTAGAACGCAAAATCGCAAAATGGCCTGCATCTCTCTCAGAATCTGCCTGCTGTGCAAATCAAAATGTATTTATGTGTCTGTTTTGTACTTGTGAAAGATGCTGGAAGCTAGAAAGAAAAAGGAGCTATCAGAGTTAGGTAGACCAGTGGTAATCAAAACTCAAGCAGGCAGGCCCAAACCACTGTATGGGGAACAATTACAGGATAAAGACTTGTGGGAAAGGTATTTTGGATATGTCCCAGTTCCGTAAAAGCCCAGTCCTCTAATGAAATAAACGTTCATTGTGTTCAGAGCAAAACATGAAGGGGCATGTATGTGCTAACAGATTTGTGCATACTCAGAACTACACTGGGCTGGATTTCCCAAAAGCATTTTAGCACAAAGAAGATTACTGAATGGTAGAGCAAGCATCATACTGGACACTCTCTCTACTAGTTAAGATGATCTTAACACTTTGGGAAACTAGTCCCCAAACAGTTAAGTGACCTTGTCCATCTTCTGCTTTGTAATCAGTACTGATTTAGAAACATGTACCTACTGTATGAAAGTAAAAGGCAAAACAGGGCGAGACGTACAGAAGCTCGAGGTGCCCCTTTAGCTTCAAATGCTGCCTTGGTTGGCATGTATACTGTTTTAGATGGCCTCCACTGTTGTTCAAAAATCAGTTTCGGTGAGGCTTCAGCCAGTGTTATACTTAAAACTGCGAGAAAAATAAACTGAACTGAACTACTGCCAAACACATTGTCACTGGTACACTTAAAAACAACTTAGTGTATATTAGAATCACTAGAAGCTCACTTTGTGCAGTGGACCGATCACAGTCAGGGGGAGGTCTTAGAATAAACGACCAGCCGAAATAAACCACACCACACTATACAAACTTGTCCAAAATGACGTCTTTTGCTCTGAAATTATTTTCTTTTGAAGTATAACATGGGCTCTAGTTCTAGCAGTCTAAAGAGATTTCGCTCTTCAACCTATCACAGATCCACACCACAAAACTGGAAATGCCACCAATAAAGCACCAATAATGTCTCCTTAAACAAGCATCACATTCCATAATGTGGTTATTTTGGACAACAACCAAATATCATGTTGGTAGTAAGGGGTGCTAATAACTCTAAATAATGCTAATAAACCAAATTTTACCTTGTTAATGTCAGGCATTGTGGAGCTCTTGCCTAAATAAACTCACTCCTTCATACCACTTATTCAGCGTAGTGGATATAATTAAGACCCAGTACACTGGAGATTGCCCAGAAGGCCCAATCACATTTCACCCCTCACCCCTCACCCCTTAGCCCTTACTCCTCTGTTTTGCGCAGTCACGTCTAGGGGTAGGGTGTCCTGATTTTTGTTAAGATAGATGGGTAAGGTGAAGTGTTAAGGCTACATGACCCACCATTTTTTGGCACAGCCCAGGTTAGTGGTATGCTGATGTCTCATTAGCTAGCTAGCTACATTTCCCATTCCACCTTAAATGGTGGATCCATTTTAGGTGGAATGCGAAAATTCGAACAAGAAGCTGGCGAATAGCTGCCTTCTGCTTCATATCACTGAAGAATTAGGGGTAGGGTAATAATAAACAACTGTCGCACCCCCTTTTTTCGAAGGCAAATGATGCCCTAAATGTAACTAAAGCCCAGCAGTGAAGTTGCTGAACTTTACCCTCCTCTGCCATCACTGAAGATTGGCGGGGTCGCCTTCAGAGCAGCGCTAATAGCTGTTAATGAAGTAATGTTCTTTTTATTTGAGGGTCCCATTTCGTAGCAGAAGATTTCCACCACTACATCTTGTAACTTAGTGCCAAAGGCAAGGCAACAGACTGTCTCTCTGGATATACTGGAAATTAAATTAAATGAAAAATGTAAAACAGCTCTGGTCTTACTGTTAGCGTCAGGGAAGCACATGTCCACCATTTCCATGTATTTCCCCTCTGCGATCAAGACGGTGCCTCCAGTAGGCAGCAGCTTGTATAGCGGCGGTCTCCCCTTCACATATGACTGCAGGAGAGTCAAGGGAGGTTACAACATTGTTTCAGTGCTAATTACTGTCACTAGGACTATCAGCCTTCTTCTAGAGATAGAACAGTTACCTCATAGCTCTCATGGCACTCCAGGGAGTAATTGGCTCGAACCACTGCATACCTGTCCTTCCATTTCCTATTGTCATCGAAGTATAGCACATGGTCTTCATAGAACACTTCTGCTGTTTCTGGTGGCTCCTGGAGAATTAGACAAACACAAAGTCTGAGTGATGAAGACGAAAACACTGACATCTCAAGGCTAATGTAGCTGACCAGTAATTGGAATATTAAGGTCAAAACTATAGACAACTCAAACCTCTGCTTGGAGAAGCTAGACCTTCAAACTTAATTCAGAAATCTTGAAAAGCATTTATTTTTTTCTAATTGGCCAAAAAATAGAAAAATTCATTCATTCGGAATACAGTTTCTATCTGATTGAACGAGGTGGGTAATCCGAGGTGGGTAATCCTGTAAATAATCTGTTAAATAGAAGAATAATAACCATGTAAACGCCTGTATCCGATTACATTCACAATCGGAAAGTTTAAGTACGTTCTGCGCATGTGCGTTCGTGTCATAGCGAAAGCAGAGAAGTTTATAACGTTCAACATGGCGGAGCAGAAACTGGTCTGCAGAGGAGACAACGTTTATGCTCTGATCTTTAAAAGACAGCGGTGGGATGGAAGTCCAGCTTATGTGTCTCAGAACACGACGTCTTCCTCTCGGCCTTCTTTAATAAGGATATGTGAAGGACAATTTCCTGAGTCTGACATATTTTTAAAGTAATTAAAAACACAAGCTCTCCAATTGAAAACTCGTCTCACTCTGACTGGACCTCACGTGATGTTCGCTGTCATGGTAACGTCTACTCTAAGTGGTACTCCATGCATGCACGTCATTTTGGATCTGATAACTTGTAGTTGCATGTAAACAAAGATTTTCCGTCAGATTGTTTAACAAAGTGTGCATATAAGCACCTCAGTCTTAATCTGTAATCGGAATGTATTCAATCGGATTGGCAAAAACCTTTGCATGTAAACACAGCCAGTGTTTAGCATGAAGTGTCAAAAAGCAAATAAGCAAGTCTGTTTAAGATTACTTGGCATAGCTTAAGCCAAGTGAGTGATGATTTAGGCATGTAGTTCGAACAATGCTAACTGGCAGGCATCATACTGGTATACTGGCACAAGCGTCCACTACTTGTTAGCTATTTTAACTGTGTGCATCCAGTGAAAAACACCAAAAAAGCAAACTTTGGACACCAAACACGTCTTGGCTGATCAGCTACATTTGGAATAAGCAGAAAACTGTCCATTAGATTTTTTCCCCAAACTGTTCCTTACGCCGCGCAAGATTAAATTAGGCTCTGTGACTCTTGACCTCCTGCTCCATTCTGTCAGAAGAGTCCTGAGACTCTTACCCTCTGTTTGAGAAGTTGAGTGTGCTGCTCTTTGCGTTGGACCAGCTCTTCATGAACATGGGACAAGAAGGCCAGGTTGTACTGCTTCTTGTAGAAGGGGGCAAAGTTCTTCAGCTCTGCTTGTGCTCGTCCTGCAACACACAAACACACAAACACACGCTACTGAGAAGCTGGTTACGCACAAACTGCTCTCATATAAGACGGTGCTACTACTGCAGTTGGGACTAAGACAGTGGTGAAAGGAGTGGTATTGTTTTAGCACAGATTTTAGAGGTGCTGCACAGACAATGTAGGGGACGATCCTAAAAATGTTAAGGATGTAATATTAAGGGCATCACAAATCTTTTCTAACAAGTGTTTGTTATTGTTTGGCATCTTTGTTTTCCTTTTCTTCAGTGTTTGTCATGTTTGATGGTATAATGGTATGAAGGCCTGTTTGTTTTCCCTCTCTTTTTCTGGCAGACAGATGACAGCATTTTCAGTTTTTATTTAAAAAAAACATAAACATCTGAATGATGGCCTATTTTCTCAGCAGTTTTACTTATTATGTCAAAATAAGTGACTTATGTTCTTGACATTTTACTGTGTTGACTTTTCTTAAGATGTTAACTGTCAAAGTAATTAATCATTTATTTCTAATTCTGATTTAATCAATCAGTTTGTTGGCCAATTATGCAGTTTACACACAACAAAGGAGTTTGACCTTGGTTTTCAGTACATCTCACAACACACACACACACACACACACACACATACATATATATTGCTGTTTTTGGAATCTCAGAAATGATAGCTTTACAGGAGAAGGAAAAAACCTACTTTACTTTTAATATAAGTCAATGGAAGACTTTTTTTCCAAGTAATTTTGGGCCGTTTCTGTTGGTTCATTCATGATGAAATTTACATGCAACATAAAGGGCAACAGGCATTTTCAAATTATGTCAAAAACTGAAAAACGACAAAAATGGAGGTACAAGGTTTTATTCTGTCAGCAGCGATATATATATATATATATATATATATATATATATATATATATATATATATATATATATATATATACATATAATTGTATAAGCGATATATACTATAATGCACAGTATTCGTAGTATTGCACAGTGCTAGTAACTGACATGAGACCCTCTCTGGGTAAGCGTATATAACATTGATGGCCTATGAAAAGAAACTACAACCAAGGCAGCCACTGCACCATATCGAAATCTTACTATTTAAAGTACAGATTTACAGAATTTGACTTATTATCCTGTAATAAACACTTTCTCAAAACATCATTTCAATATAGCAAGTCTCAAAAAATGTCAATTCTTTGAATTAAATGGTCAAAATTTTGACTCACTGCAGCCAGAAACAGAAAGGGTTGGCAATTCTTTGCTCTCCTAAATAGTAAAAACAGGCTACTATACTAACTTACACCCTTTAAAACCCTTTCATCATATATATATATATATATATATATATTCTTTATTTTCTTGTATTAGAAGTGCTCGTATTATTCTCCACACATTGCAGCACTGAAAAAACATCCATCCCAAAAAAGGAGTAGAGCTTAAGAAGGTCAGGAGGGCCACATCCTGTTCTGTACTCTTACTCCTATTATAAGGAGTTAACATTACACTCTGATCATTTACACTCCATTCAATAACCTCTCAGTACAGCCATTCACTAATAACCCCAACCTCTCAAGAGAATTCATGTTTTTTCCTCACATTACTCCATTAAACACAGCTTAACAATGCAGTAACACAGAGAGGTCATTTAATACACACTGGCTCCAAACAAGACAACTTCCCTTCCTGCTGCAGCCACGGAAAACAGCGACATTCTTTTGCTACTGACCAGGCCCTGCTTTCAGGGCAGTAACTAGCTTGTAATTGCAATTAGTCCTAATACAGTCTCTTATAAGTTAGTGAATACGGATTCGAGCATCATTCGAACACAGCAGCTGTGCTATACAGCTCATATTTCACACTTGAGATTTTTCCAATATATTAAACTCAGCAAATAAACAGAAATTGGCAGGAAAATGTTATATTTAAGTTTGTTCCCTTAAGGAACTAATTATCACTTAGAAAATCAACAAAACATTATTTGACCAAGGATGTTCAAACTTTTGCAACCAACTATACTTGCACAAGAAATCTAGGTGTTTGCATGGCACCAAATATGTGTGTGCGAGTGTGTGTGTTCTTGTATTGCTATACTTGTGAGGACCCCATGTCCTCACTAGAATAGGACAATATGAAATTTTTGTTCAAGTGAGGACATTTTGCTGGTCCTCACTTGAGCATGTGTTGTTTCCACCACAATTACTTTTATTATTTGAAAACTAAAAGAACAGAAAAAATGCCTTTTGGATACTGAGGTTAAGGTTAGGGTAAGGTTTAGGTGTAGTATTATTTAGCTACAGTAACACAAAAATCAATAAAAGTCTATGGATATCCTCATATGTATAGCAAGACAAACGTGTGTGTGTGTGTGTGTTTAACTACAGGCTGAGCAGTGCTTTTGCTCTTTACCAGTTAACTCTGATACACAAGGAATACATCAAGTCATTTTTAACAAAGGACTCCATTAGAAAGACATCTTGATGAACTAACAGATGACTCTGAATACAATTAAGAGATTTGGAGTGTTAGATTGTTATACAGCTGTCTAAGAGCCATAGCTACCCCTTAGTGTAGCTGCAGTGGACAGAAATGTCACAATAAGAAAATCCCTGTAACAAAAAATGAGCTTTAGATAATGCAGCTATTTGGGAATCCACAAGATTCCAGTCACCACAGTGTGTCCATTTATGGTGCTCTCTGTTAAAAACTCTGAGTGTGTGTTGTTTCAGCAGTTCCTGTTTTGGCTCTACATGAATCCAAAATACTCACTGTTCTTTCAAACTACACACAATTTTTTTCAACGTTATGGTTTTTCAGGCTGTTCTACTCCTAAAGGATGACTGTTCATTAAACCTGTCCGTTATAAAAGAGTATTTCTGGATGTGAAAACAGTTTAAAAGAGTTTAAATGAGCACCATTCTGTCCAAAAGAAAACTGGATATCTGCCTTCCTTGATATTTTTCCATCTGGAATTAGTGAGTTCAAGAATTCAGTGTACAAACATCTGTAACATTACAATGGTACTCCTCTCAATCTGTGCAGATATTTGGATGTTGTCATGATGTAGTCTGTTCTTCAACCCCTCAGGGTCATTATTTGGGGTCTTTAGTCCATTTCTACTCTTTCTTTGGGGTCTTTCATCTCTTCCTACACGTCTTCTGTGCCTTTTTTCTCTAATCATCTACCTTGATCTACCTCTACATCTACCTCTAAGGCACCACTTTAGGTAAAAAAATTCTATATTGTCAAATGCTTGTCTTTTTTCTTTATTATTAATAATTTATCTGCTTGTTAGTGTATTTTTGCCTTGTGTTGTCCCTGTTGGTAAGGTCTCTGTATCTCAAAACATAATGCAATAATATAAATAATATAAATATTATTACTATTACAACAACCACTACTACTAGTACTACTACTAATAATAATAATAATTTTAGAGCAATAACAAAAAAACATTTTAGCCTCAAAGTCATCCTGAATATTTGAGACAAGCATCATGTGAAGAATCCTCAAGGGCAGCCAGACTGACCTTTACTCTGACCCAGTTTAAGGCTACTTGGTTATGAGAAGCTATTGCCCTGTTTCACACTCAGGCTAGCAGGCAAATGTGGGTAGTAATAGTTACATTTACTCTAGTTATATTTACTCAAATAAAAAAATGTTTATTTTCTAAGCAAATTTATGGCACATTTTATGTTGTATTTTATTTTTTTCCATGTTTCATAGGTTTTTAAGTTTGTTGATTTGGAAAATGCACAAAGCATATAGCTATACATACACATTTTACAGGCACACTGCAATCAGACAGGGGTATCCAAAAGCCATGCTCAAGTACACATATTGTTATTTTGGTGGAACAGTGACGGAGGTTGAAAGTACCTTTCCAAAAACTACTTTAGAAGAGAACTATTTTTGGCCAAAGTACTAGTTTAAAAATGCTCCATTCTTCTATCTATCCTTGGTCTAAAACAGTGGTTCCCAACACTGGCCCTGCACATTTTAGTGTCTCTTCCTTTCAACCCATCTAACCCAGCTAAGCAGTTCATCAGCAAGCCCTTCCTGAGTTGAAGTGGGCATTGTACAGCAGGAAAACACAAACATGCGCTGGGGAGTGGGTGCTCCAGGACCAAGGTTGGTCTAAAGCAAAATGCTAAAGCTCAGAGGTGAGAGTTGTGGCCAATCGTAAAGCATTACAGATGCTGTCATCAACAACGTAACAGAATGAAGTAAACAGAAAAATGGAATAAGTAAGTAAATGTTAAGAACTAAAATGTAACTGGGTAAAAAAATTCCTTTCATAACAAATGCAGAAGTATAAGTATCATCATTTGAAAGTACAATGCCATCAGTATTTTGGGCACATGTACATGAGCCTTCCACGATCATGAGTTTTAGCTGAAGATTGACTGACGTAAAAATTGTAATTATTAATTTAACTGTCTTTTTTTTCATTATTGTATGAAACTACTATAGTACAAACCTAAACTGGCCACATTAGCTGATTATACACACACACACACACACACATCATCTAAAACGCTTATCCTTTGGGTCACGGTGTAGCTGATTATACATATTATTAAATATTGTTTAGTAATTATGTAATCATTCTGACAGGCATGCATTTATCTCATGGAGTTCATTACTGCTCACCTCTGGTTGTAAGGGAAACTTCTCTTGTAAAAAAATGACCAGTTTTGCCAATTGGTATAAATGTATAATTACATATGCAGACATTTACAAATACATGTATTTTTGCACTGTTTCATTCAAAGTATGTATTTAAGATATTTTACCCTTATTAGTCCCAGAACGGGGAAATTTCACCACCTCATTTAACCCATCCGTGCAGTGAAACACCACATACACAGTAGTGAACACACACACTAGGGGGCAGTGAGCACATTTGCCCAGAGCGGTGGGCAGCCCTATCCACGGCGCCCGGGGAGCAGTTGGGGGTTAGGTGTCTTGCTCTAGGGCACTTCAGTCATGTACTGTCGGCT